ACCACCAAGGAGGGCCTTTCTTAGGAGTCTTACAAATAAAAGTTTTTTGAATTTATTAACTACCAATTTTTTTTCCTAATCTACCTTCATTTATCTATATTCTCTTCTACTAACTTCTAAATCTCTTTATATTTTTCTTTTTATTTTCTCACCACCACCAAGACATTCTATTTTTTATAAGCCATCTTACTCAGTGGTCATGAAGTTTGAGGCTTTGTCTTCTCCCTGACTTTCTTTTCTCTTGCTACCTTTCAGCAAATCTGTTTAATTCACAGACTTTTAGAGCACAACAGGTTTTGTAACATGAAGGGTTGATTACAGCAAGATAGTGTTGGCAACTCTTGCAACAACTATTGAATATCTTCTGTACTTAGTTTTCACTAGTCAAGGAAAGTTTTTTATCTTGCTAAACAAGTTTTTAATCTATGTACTAGGAGTAGTTAAGGATCATTTTCTTCATCTGTTCTTAATATTAAACACCTTACAGAGTAGTTCATTTAAAAATACAAAACTTGCTTTAGGCATTTGGATGGTCCTAGGAATTAACCATACAATCTAGCATCAAAAGCTGAGTCTTATACTTCAGGACACAAGTGCACTCAGTATTTTCTTCTTTAAAGTTTCTAAAATACTTATTTTGTATGCTTCCAAAATTAGGAGTCAGATTTTAAAATTTTTTTTAAGACTTATTTATTCATACAGAACTGGGGTACAGGAGGGTGAGAGGATTCACCAGAGACAGAGTGGGGAGCAGAACAGGCAGATTGACGAAGTACACTGCTGAGGGGAACAGAGGGCGGGTCAGGAGAGGTCTGCCACGCCATGTGGTCACCTCCAGGGCAGGCGGGGATCGAACTCATGCGGAAGTGGCTTTAGCTTCTTAGTGCTGTGCTTTAACCCGCTGCGCCACCAGGGAGGGCCTTAAAACTTTATTTTTATCAATGCATATTACACTAAGAGACTTATAATACCCATCTTATCCATGATTTCTATTTCTAGTAGGCTGCCATTTCAGTCCAGCTAACAGCTAGCTGTCTCTTTTGATCTATATTGCCACATTTCTGTTTAACCTGCTTTTACTACTACATCTATTATCCTTTAATCCCCTGCCAGGTAGATTTAGCTACTATGCACATCACCAACAACACACTTTTTCCCTTTTTTCCAGTATGTATTACTTTTTGTCTAAATCGGTATCCACACCATGGCCAGTTAAGTCATGTGATGCAACAGGAACACTTTTCCTCTCATACTGCTTTTTGTTTTTCCTGGGGACATGAACTCCCTCCGTGTTGGGTGTGTGTGTACAATATGTTTGTATGTTTAGTTTCCTGAATACCTATCACTAAAGGACAGATCCTTTGTCCTAACACTAATCTAGTGTTTTTAGTTCTTTTGATTTTAAAGTAATGGAAACATTACTTTATTGTGGCATCCTCAAATGTTAATCTCTGTTAGATTTTTCTCTGGGGCTAGATAACTTCCCTGAGAGCAACTCAGGTTCTTGCCTGAGATAGGATGAAGCATAAAACCAAGATTCTGGAACCAAGCAGGTGAAAGTGTTGGATATTTGACTTCAATTTGTGAACTTTGACTTTTGACTGAGTCTGCTTTTTAGAATGGCTTTTCAGCCCATCTTTATAACTGCTTGATATCAAGAACTTTTTAACAAATGGCTCCAGAGAAAAACTGACTGGAACCAGTGAGGGCATTTTGCAAAAAAAAAAAAAAAAAGATAAATATTAGAGATAGAGATTGAAAGGATAAATTTAACTTCTGTTTTGATGTTCAGAGTAAATGTCATTCTATTTCTGTTCATGCAGCTCATCCGAACATTCTGTCATTAAGCCACCTTTTGGAGATTCTTCAGGGATTCTATCAAGGTCCAGAGGGGAAGAGGTAATACTTTGTAATTTTTGCTAAGGAATTCTCAAGTTAAAGAACCATTTTTAGAAATAATCATTATCGTTATTAAATGCTGGTATTTATCTCCCAGCAGTCTTGAGTTTTCACTGGGCTAAATGAGAAGTTTATGTCAGAAAGCACGTGATAATCTTCATGTTATTGACCCGGTAGTGATCCTGGGGGTGACTTGGGACTGTGTACTACTCTCTGAAGCCAGTGGTTAATTTGCTCAGGTGTTAACTGATATCACTTTTGGGCTTCTCATTAAAGCTTTTTTTTTTTTTTGGTTTGGAACCAGACATCCTTCCTTAGTATTATACAGCTTCACTCCCTCTTAATTTTCCTAGTTCAAATTTTTGCCCCACAAACAAAGGCATTAGTTTAGATGTTCATGGAGGCAAAAGGTAGCATGAGTAAAGCTAACCATTTATGTGATAAGCACAGGAATAGTGTCCTGTGCACAAAGGAGTACTCCTTTGTCCTAACACTAATCTAGTGTTTTTAGTTCTTTTGTTTTTCGAGAAAAGCTTAAGTGTAGGTTTTTTAAGTAACATCTAGTTTTAAATGGCAACAAATTTTAAAAATGCATTGGAGGAGCAAATGTACTTAATTTGAGGCAATGCCATCAATTGTCATAGCATAGAAAAACTTGAATGTCTGAGCAATCTGCACTTTAAATTTAGTAATGAACGCAAAAGGCAGAAAATTGGGCTAACTTGGATTTCCACTTAAGAGAATATATGAGTATGTAATGTACATAAAGTGATACAAGGTAAATTATCCAGTTCAACTGAATTTAAAATAAAGATGAATTCTTTCCAATTCATTTTTATGGGATACATTCATATTCTTTTTACAGGATGACAAGTCAAAAAAACAATTTGTTTGTATTAATACTCTGGAAGACACACAAGCTGTTAGAGCAGTGGCTTTCCATCCAGGTGGTGGTTTATATGCTGTTGGCTCAAATTCAAAAACTCTGAGAGTATGTGCCTATCCGGAAGTTATTGATCCAAGGTAAGGATAGGTGTTTATACTTTTTTTTTTAAGAAAAAGACTTTGTGTACAAGAACTGGGTTGTAGGCCTGAGGTGCATGCGGCGGGTGGGGGTTTGTGAGAGGAGTCACCAGAGACAGAGTGGGGAGCAGAACAGGCAGATGGACTGAAATCCACTGCTGAGGGGAGCAGAGGGCGGGTCAGGAAAGGTCTGCTGAGGCATGTGGGCCAGTTCCCAGGCCAAGGGACTGAACTCCACCTGCAGTGGCTGTGGCTAGCTTCATAGTGCTGTGCTTTAACCCGTTGCACCACCAGGGAGGGCCCTATTGGTGTTCAGTTTTTTAGTTGAGTAGGAATATATGAAAAAGATTAGGCAGAATTTCAGATCAGAGTGGCAAATAGCAATAATTATGGAGGCAAAACCAATGATTTGTATTTTTAGGGTTAATCTGATCTTAATTGTTTCCCTTTTGTATTTCATATACTGGCATAAAAGTTCCATGACGTTTTGTAGGGAAACTGACTTGTGTTAAAATTAGTCCCTTTATTTAACAAATAACATTTTAAGTTCCTTTTATGTGCTAGGTATTATTCTAGGTTTGGAAGTGGTTGGGAGTAAAAAAGAACATATTCATTGACTTCATGGAGCTTCTGGTTTAGTGGAGACAATGGACATACAAATAAATTATGCATTGTGCTAAAAGTTTGGAAGAAAAAGTATTAGATACTATAAAAAGAGTAAAATGGGGTGATGAGAGGACTGCAGAGTCAGAGCAAAACCTCTTTGCAATGAGGTATTAAAGCTGAGATCTGAGGATGAATAGACCCCTCCCCCCACCTCCATGTGAAGAGTTAAAAACAGAGGGAGCAGAAGCTTTGTGGGGAACTGCAATATGTCCGTGAGCTGGAGTGTGTGAGAAACAGACATGAATAAATTAGCAGAGCTTTATAGCCATTTTGGAATTTATCCTGAGTGTAGTGGGAAGCTGCTGAAAGTTTTAAGTAGAGCAGTGTTGTGATCTAAATATATCTTGAGACCATCACTCTGACTCTGGGTCCAGTCTTAATGCACGTGGATCCATAAAAAAGGTAAGAAGCTGCTATCATTGATGGCTAGTGTGACTGCAGAGGCAAGAGAGCAAAATGGGTAGAGGTAAAATTTATGTAAAGAAAGAATTAGTGGGCACTAGCAGTGACTTGACTGCAGTTAAAACAATCTTTTGACCTGATGTAGATCAGTAGTAAATATCTACAAGGTATTAGAGATTTGTCAGTCTTTCTTTTTCTTTTTTTGTTTTTTTAAGATTTATTTGTACATACAGAACTGGGGTACAGGCCAGAGGCTCAGGGGCAGTGAGAGGCTTCACCAGGTACAGAGTGGGGAGCAGAACCGGCAGATCATCGAAGTACACTGCTGAGGGGAGCAGCGGGCGGGTCAGGAGAGGTCTGACACGCCATGTGGTCACCTCCGGGGCAGGCGGGGATCGAACTCATGCAGAAGTGGCTTTAGCTTCTCAGTGCTGTGCTTTAACCCGCTGCGCCACCAGGGAGGGCCTATCAGTCTTTCTTATTAATAAAGTTTCTTAAAAATTTTTTAACTCTGGACACATCTTTTGCCTCCTTATTTTTCATCTGTCCTTTACCTCCTCTCACTTTAGGTAGTTACTCATAATGATTATTAAATGTGTGTTGAGCTTTTTGAATTTGGTAGCATTACTAGCTCTCTTTAAAAATTCATTTCCTTTGGTTTCTCATTTAAAATCTGAAAAATATGTGAAATGGAAACTTTTAAAAGTATCCTGTTCCCTGAACAGGTCTGAAATGAGAGGTTAATATGATGATGATTTATGGTTTTACTTTTGTATTTTTAAAATGCTATGAATTTGTTTATCCTAAGAGTTTGAAATTGTTGTTAACCTGTTGTCTGGTATCTGTTTTCTCCCTCAAGAACCACCAGAATTTCATATTCATTAACTTTGGCGAACAAAAAATGGAAATATCTTTCTGTAATTTTTCTTTGTAGTGCACATGACATCCCTAAGCAACCAGTGGTGCGTTTTAAAAGGAATAAACACCATAAAGGATCCATTTACTGCGTGGCCTGGAGTCCTTGTGGGCAGTTACTAGCAACAGGATCAAATGACAAATACGTCAAAGTGTTGCCCTTCAATGCAGAGACCTGTAACGCCACAGGTAGGGGCTGTGTGTGTGAGCAGCCACTGGTGGCGCATGCGTTAGGCGTGCCTCATGTGGGCTCTTGACAGCTCTCTGTTTCTTCATTAAGATCTAGGAATATAGCATGAAGGAGAAATTTGGGGCATTGAAATTGCTTAGTCACATTCAAGAGTCATTATTCTTTTTTAGTAAGTTTTTACAGGCGGCAAGGTGGTTTCTAGTCCTTAGAAAATTAGCTTTAAAGAAAATACTTTTTAAATAACCACCAGAATTTTTAATGCATATTTTGTAAAGAGAATCTATATGCTCTTTTATTTTCTTTGAGATGGAATACAAGAAAGTAAATCTACAGATAGCTGTTTTGGGAATGGTGATAACTGAATAGGGGTTTCTTGAAGTCCTTGGCTCAGTAAAATGAAGTGAGCCCATACCACTCTGCCTTTATGCTTGGTCATGTTTGAGGCAGTTTAGAAATTTCAAATGATCACATGAAATTGAGCAGCATTTTTTTTTTTTTTTTTTTTTTTTAATTCTTACTGCTGTTTCAGGACCGGATCTGGAATTTAGCATGCATGATGGGACAATTAGAGACTTGGCATTCATGGAAGGCCCGGAAAGTGGTGGAGCTATTTTAATAAGTGCTGGAGCAGGGGACTGTAACATTTATACAACTGACTGTCAGCGAGGACAGGGCCTCCATGCTCTGAGCGGGCACACCGGTACGTGGCAGCAGTCTCGGAGGCTGCTTTCTTGTGCCTTCATCATCCCTCCTCCTGGATGACCTCCCCCCTCAGGTGCCATTTTCACTAAGGGCTACACTTCATCAAAAGGGACTTAACAAGACAGGGAATTTTTATTTCAAAAATGGAAATTGTGAACTTCTGATAGCAACACAGTAATGATAGCTAATGTTTTCCAAGTTGCTGACATTTTTATTTATAGATATAATTCCTTAATTTCATCATCACAACAGTCTTATGAGGCAGGAAGTTTTATCTCCATCTTATACATGAAAAAAGTGAAACTTGAGTGTGAGAAGTGATTTATGTCATATTATAGATCAGTGTGGTAAATCTGAGATAGGACCCTATGTCTGCCTCTTCCAAAGCTGGCAATATGACTCCATAATTCTGTGCTTCCTTTGAGGAAAATTTGCCATAACTTCAAATGATAAATTTATTTTTTCCATACTATGATGTTTGGAAATACTGAGACACTAAATAAAGAGTGTTCAGTATGACTTTGAGGTATGTTTTACTGAATTTTGATTTCTTCAAAATTGTCAACATGGATGTATGCAGGAGATCTACCAATTTGACTTAATATTTGATAGCCAGACCTTCGAATGCCTGGTAATAAGGAGCATTTAGCTTCGAATGTGTTAGAGACCAGTATTGTTCCATTTTATAACTGAGGATGTGGTATTTCACAGGACATATTTTAGCACTTTATACCTGGAGTGGCTGGATGATTGCATCTGGGTCTCAAGATAAGACCGTTAGATTCTGGGACCTTCGAGTACCAAGTTGTGTTCGTGTTGTTGGTACAACCTTCCATGGAACTGGTAAGTTTTCCTAGAATTTAAATGAGAAAGAAACTTTTTATATTGCCCCTAACCTACTTCTTTTCTCCTACAGAATATATGTTAAAAGGAATAGGAACAACAACAAAAAAAATGAACACTTGGTACTTTGTTGATTATGTTAATTTCTTAACTTTTCCCAGCACTCTTTATCTCTTCTAGTGGCCTTTTCATTGCCTGCATTTCTTCTATTTCCTTTTTTAATGTCTCATTTTCTTTCTTAAGTTCGCTGATTACTTGTCTCATATTTTTTTCATTTGTTTCATTCGTTTCCTTCAACTCCTGGATGGCTTGCCTCATTTCATTTTGTTTGTTTATCATGATGATTCTGAATTCTTTATCTGGTAGGTTGAACAGTTCTTCTATTTCTTTGGTGTTTTCTGTTGACTGATCTTTTTGTGTTGAATTTTCCCCCTGTGGACTTGCTTGAATATTTGTTTGTCTTCTTTTCCCTGTTGTGTATTTTCTAATACTTTCTATTCGCTGAGATACGGTGTTGCTACTGTTGGCCGGCATTTTTTTTTCTTGGATGTTCTTTCTGGAATACCTGTGGGACTTCCAGACACTTCAGTTGTGGAGGGTATTCTGGGTTGTGTTGTTTTTCCCAGCCCCCACTGTGTGTAATTGTGTCTGTTGTCTCAGCTGGTAACAGTCCGGGGACTCTTGTGTTGTTCAGCCTCTTCTAGTAAGGTGGAAGGTGTCTGTTGATCTTTGTAGCCTTCAGATGTCCCAGGTTCCCTCTATGCTTGGTGTGCCCGTGGTGGTTATGATGAATTAGAAGTGTTGTAGGTCTCCCTGGAGCTGGGCCTTTGGTTGAGTTGGTGGCTGGCTTTGTTTACACTCTAAGTACTGTGAGCTTTTCTGGCTCCCAAGTCTTCAGCCTCTGTTGTGGGGGTGGGATCTCCCCCTCCCCACAGGAGTGCAGGGGAGTGCCAGAGGGCTGAAATCCTCCCAGCTGAGCAGGCTGCCAGTCCTCCCTTTGAGCTTTCAGGGCTCTTTTTGTTTAGTTCAAATAGTCCTCCCTGAGCAGTGCCTCCCACCTGCCGGAGGTCCTTTCACAGAGCCCAGCTGTATCTCTAACTCCAGGGTTTTACCACAGTTTTTGTGGGTAGATGTGGTAAGCAGGTAGACCCCTGAGCAAGTCTCCCCATTTGAGGCACTTCCTAGGGCCTCTCTATGTTGAATGTGCCCATGCAAGATTGCTGCATTGTCCTAGGGTTGGGCCTGTGGTTGGTTCCCGCCCCCCGCAGCAGCTTGGGTTCCACTCACCTAGCTGTGTTGTCTCAGTTTATATCCAGGGCTTTGTCGGGGCTGTTGGGGCAAAGGTCAGCAACAGGTCTGCAGCGGTCCAGGCGCCTAGATTTTTAAAGGAGCTGAAAGAGCAGGAAGCCGCTGGCGTTCCGGGATCAGGTCCTGCCTGTGCGGCTTCCCTTGTGGGAACTCCCCAATTGCCGGTTCTCCCTCTGTTATTTTTCCTTCTAGTGAGTCCAGGGTGTTCTCATTTGGGTTGAAACTAGTAGCATGAAAGTCTATAGTCCGATTTTATATAATCCCGTGCGAGTTTGGATGTAGTCCTCTCGGGTCTTTATTCTGCCGCTATCTTGCCGTTTCCCGAGCTGGTCGAGCTGATCAGCGGCTTTGCAGGGCGCCCAGGTGCTCGGGATCGGGTTGGCAGTCTCAGCGGTTTTTCCCTCACCCAGGTATTGAGGATCAGATTTGCAGTTTTTCCACAGCCTGGGCTCCACTCACTGAGCTGAGCCGTCCAGCTTTACCTCCAGGGTTTAGTGTGGGGCAAAGCCGCTCCTGCAGCCCGTAGAATTTCCAGGCGCCTGGGATTTCCCGCCGATTTCCCCTCAGTTATCTACCTTCTAGCGAGTCCAGGTGTTTTCGTTTGGGTTGAAACTTGCAGTAAGTAAGTCTATAGTCCGTTTTCAGTCCTCAATTCCTATGCAAGCCTGGACACAGTGATCTCAGTGTCTTTACCCTGCCGCCATCTTCCGGAAGTCCGATTATGTTAATTTCTTTGACAATATCTTTATGTGATTTTATTTGTAAAAATGATAGTTTAGGGGACCAAAGACCAGTGACATTAGATATTTTGCCCCAAATTATTCTGGTAGTAGGGCCATTTTAAAACTCAGACCTTTAAAAGACATTTTTTTAAATGTATGCACATGGTTAAAAATGGAAATGGAACAAAGAGAGTATACTATTTTCCTTCCAGTCCTATTCTTTGTGTTTATCCAAAGGACTAGGTCTTTGTTTATTCTTCTGGAAATACTGTGTAAATATAGCACCCAAAAGTTTACATATATCATAAGCTCCCTTCTTCTTTAACCATACCAACACAAAAATGGTAGCACATAAATGTCTTGCTTTTTTAAGTTAACACATCTTGAATTGTTTCATGTAGATTGAGACTACAGAGTAACAGTTTTTGCTGTCGCCTTTATTTTAGACTCTTTTTATAGTCTCTGTGGTTTCTAACAGCAATTCTTTGGCATTATTTCAAGTGCTAGGGCCTGCTTTATATTCCTAACTTTTGGAGGGTTGTTATTTATTTATGCATTCAAGAACTGGGGTGTAGGCTAGAGGTGTGGGTGGTGTGGGGGGTGAGAGTGTTCACCAGAGACAGAGTGGGGAGCAGAACAGGCGGATGTGCTGAAACACAATGCTGAGCGGAGCAGCGGGTGAGACAGCAGAGCCTGCCACCCCACGTGCGCCACCTGCCTGGCCGGGAATCAAACTTACGCTGCTGTGGCTGCGGTAGCTTCATAGTGCTGTGCTTTAACCTGTTGCACCACCAGGGAGGGCCCATATTAGCCTCCTTGTTTTTTCAATCAAAATTTCAAACTAATAAGATATGTTTGAAATACAAGTAATAAAATTTCAAAATAATATGTCTGTGTCATACATATAACTCCCTGTCCCTCCCATTTATATTGTTAAATGTTTTTCAGGATCTAACTGATGTCCCTTTTCTGAGAAGTCTTCCCAGGACACTTTGGTCTAGAGTATTGTTCTGCAACTTTATTTTTGTTATTGCCCATACTAAGGAGAAAAGCTATGTTAAATATTTTCTTAATAAGAGGAATTAAATACTTACAAGGAATAAGATTTTGGGGGGAGGGGATGGGATATAGCTTTGGAGGGCTATAAAACACTATTGATTTTTAGAGATTTTTTTCATCTCTTAACAAGCATTTCATGCTCTTTGGGGCATTACTGTTTGAAAATACATGGTCTGGAGTTGGGGCTCCAGCCTGTGCATTCAGCTTATAATCTGTTGTATTCCTGTTGGTATTAAATTGTATTGCTTTGAGACATTTCCTATACCGTGTCCTAAAACCTATTTTTTAATTTAACTTATTATCCCCCTACTAAACTCTTAAGTTGCATATGGGAGTTTTGTGGACAGCAGTGAAAGCTCTATTATGCTGTCCCAGTCGTCTTTTTCTTATTACTCACAGAATCTTGCTTCATACCTTGCCCCTAAATAGGACACAAGTGTTTGTTGATTGACATCAGTTTGAATTCTTCTGTGATTATAAGCTATGTTAAATCCTTGGTATATGGTTCAGCAAATGTAATGAGCTGTTGAGTTAATAAGCTGTATTGACTTTTCCATATTGAAACTTCCATTTCTCCTGCTGTAGGCAGTGCAGTGGCATCTGTAGCTGTAGACCCCAGTGGCCGTCTTTTAGCCACAGGACAAGAAGATTCTAGCTGCATGCTGTATGATATAAGAGGAGGGCGAATGGTGCAGAGCTACCACCCTCACTCCAGTGATGTTCGCTCTGTTCGGTTCTCCCCTGGAGCTCACTACTTACTAACAGGATCCTATGACATGAAAATCAAGGTGACAAACCTACAAGGTGATTGACATTGACCTGCTTCCTTGTTTTCAGTCCCTGCTGTTCAGTTTAGAGTCTTTCTTTTTTGTTAATCTGTTATCACTGACTATCCAACATTTTTGAATTTTAGTCTTATAGTCTTTTCTGGGCAATTTACTGTTACTATATAGAGACAAATTGTAGCAAATTATTAAATTAACTGAGGTTTAAAAAATGGACCCTTTTTAAAATATTAGGTTTTTCAGATGTTTAAAAGAATCAACGTCTGTTGTACTGAACTATGCTGTGTTCAGTAGTGGCAGATGCTGAAGTGGGTGTTTACCCGCTCCTGTTTGCCTCTGCTTTAGAACACTTAGTGACTTTGTGTGATTAGTTAAGAATTCATTAAACAAATATCTAGGGATAGAAAGATGACTAAGACAGGTAACTACTCCTTGATGGAACTTACATTTTACAGATGGATAAAAAGTAAACCAGTAAATGATATAATTTTAGCTATTGGCAAATGGTCTTAAAAAACTAGCTGAGAACTAGGGTAGGGAGGAAGTTTTAGGTGGGATAGAGTAGTTCTCACCAGGGAAGTGCTGTTGCAAAGAGACTTAAATAATGAGAAGGAGGGAGCCACTCTAGGACTTCAGAAACCATAGAAAGCATGAAGGTGCTGAGGCCGCGTGAATTTTCCCTGTGAGCCTACACTGCAGGAAGCTAGTGTGACTGGGACCTGGGGAACCTGGGAAAGAGAAGAGCTTATTAGCTAGAGTCAGGGCCATATAGGTATTTTAAAGAGCATAATGGCAATCCTTTGAAATATTTAAAAGAGGGAGTGATATGATCTGAATTACATTTCCTTTTGGGTTGCTGGGCCCAATTTCCAATGTAGGGAGGCATATGTGTGTTCCCCACACATAAATAAACAATTCTCCAAATACCAGTTGGGTATTCTACAGCTCAACTCAGTTCTGGCATTTCTGCCCAGAAATAGTCATGTTCACAGGCAGAGTGTTCAGTCCTTCAATGTAGTATCTACCCCATCCCATTTAGATGCTGATTTCAAAACAGATTGATACCAGTGTTACTGAACAACTTGTCTGTAAATCAGTTTCCCCAAAACCCCTTCCTTGGGTTCTATTAATTTGCTTCACCAGCTCACAGAATCCAGATTTTATTTATTAGAACAAGTTTTTATGAAAGGATATAATTCAGGAACAGCCAGGTAGGGTGATGTTTGTAGGAAGGGCATGTGCTTTTCATGCCTTCTCCAGGGGTCTTCCATTCTCCCCAATCTCCATATGTTCACTGGCCTGGAAGCTCCCTGAACTCTGACCTTTTGGGTTTTTATGGAGGCTTCATTACTCAGACATGACTGATGAACTCTTTGACCATGATGAACTCATATGCCAGAAATAGAGCCAAATAGATATTTCTTACTATAAATCACATATTTTAAAAAGACAGTTTTAAGTTTTGTAAGGAAGCTAGATTATGTCAGTGAAGATGCTATTGGAACAGTTCAGGGGAGACATGATGGTGGCTTTCTCTGGGATGGTAGAGGTTTGGAGGTAATAAATGACTTAATTCAGGGGGACGGCAACTGTAACAGGCCTGAGAGAACTGCAGGTGAGGCGCCAAAATGTCTAAGGCCGCTGCCTGTATGTTATGGGATAGTACTGGCACGACGGGTATTCAGTGGCCTATCCCACCTTAAGCCTTTCTGTGTATTACCTTCATACGGCTGAGGAGTTTTCGTACTGTAATGTTCTAATAGGCAGTTTGAGAACTCTATACAGATACTTATTTTGTGTTGTAAATCAATATCTCTTTTTCTTTTAATTTAGGAGACCTCACTAAGCAGCTTCCCATCATGGTGGTGGGGGAGCACAAGGACAAAGTGATTCAGTGCCGGTGGCACACCCAGGACCTGTCCTTCCTGTCATCCTCCGCAGACAGAACTGTAACCCTCTGGACTTACAGTGGCTAGAGTGCACCCAGTGTCTCCATGCAGTGAAAGCACAGAGACTTAAAGACTGCTGGGTTATGGAAGTCACAGATTTGAAGAACATAGACCGACCAAGGAAGTGGCTTAGCAGGAGGCGGCCCCTCTTCCCATGTTCCCTTTGATAGGAGGTGTTGGGTGCTGGTGTTCTGCGTGCTTTCAGTCTTCCCTGTGAGCTCGTGCTGCTGTGACCTGCTATGTGTAGTCTTGTTGCCAAAGTCCACAGAAGAGCTCGTATATTGTCAATGTGCACTCCAAGGTCAAGGTGGACGATGTGTTTACGGTTTAGTATTAAATGCATTCCTTGGTCTTTGCCTAAATAACAGTTTTGTATACACATTGAACTTTGAACTCTAAGCATATTATTACAATGTAATGCAGCCAAGTTCTACACAAATTAGACATAGGTGTTCAGAAATGACTTTTGCTTTTCTCACAATCCCATGATATTGTACCATTTGTCAGCTAGAGGTCAGAATTTTATATATCTCAAAAGTTATATGGTTTTTACTACGGATCATTATGGAGTTAAAGATGAAAGGAAAACTGCTTCTTAGTTCATCATGTGATACAGGCCTTTTTTCCAAAAACCAGGGATATAATTATTATTTTGTTCATTTTTTTGTTTGTTTCAGGGTTAAAAGGTAAATGCATTTGCTTCAGAAATTCGCTAATTTCAGTTTTTTGAATGCAACAAGATACCTCCCTCCTAAACTGTACTGTAGTGGCAGAGCGGCAGCCTTGTGATGTGATGCAACACTTGATGGTACAGTGAACTTCCTGGCTAGCATTTCTCCTCTTACAATGAAAAATTTTACCATAGACTGTAGCATGGCTTGAAATGCTATGTCTGCATGATAATTAAAAATGAAAAATTTAAACTTTGCACTCCAAAAGCTTATTTGGATTTTTTTTTGCACTGTTTTATGTAATGCAGAATAATTTTATTTCTACGGCATTGTAGATCCTAACATTTATGTATCTTATTTTCATATTGTACAGTAATTTTACTTTAAGTTATTAAATAGGCTATTTTATTTATTTCAAATGCAGTTGAGTTGGTTTCTAATTTTTGAACTGTCTGTGCACTGTATGTAGCAAGCATTTTTAACCTATTGTATACAAGTGGAAAGGGTATTAGAAGTGTAACTGTGCTGTTATTTCAATAAAGACCTCTTGACACCTATTACTGTTCCTTTCCCTAAGTGTCTGTGGCTTATTTTAGAGTTGTTTTTTTTTTTCTTCAGCTTAGTTGGAGGTAGTGTGGTCCAATGGATGAAACCCATAGTCAGTTTGTTTTTTCCTAAAGTTCTTCCATAACTTATTTTTTTAAACCCTTGGCAATGGCATAACTTTTGTGTGTCTTCTGTCCTTTCATTTGTGATCCAGACCTTTGTATTCTGAATATGTTGTCAAAGTTGATTCATGAAAACCCAACAAAACTATAAATCATAACTTAGATTACAAGCTAAATATGTTAAATGGAGAAAAATGGAAAAAATACAATTAACTTGTGGATATTTAATAGGTACATAGGTTTTCTACCTATCAGTCATGCAGAAGGGAATTCTGCTAAAAATAGATTAGTCTTTTCTCAGTTTATTTGCATGCTTAGTTTCACACATCTTAAATGTGACAATACTTCATTAGTCTTAATTTTAAAACTGGGAAAAGGGTAATTTCTTGATATAAATCAGCTCAACTTCATCATGAAAATATTTGTAAAATTATGTATTTCACCTTCACTATAGGGGAAAACTTCAAGATCATTCTAGGTATGGTGTATGAATTCACTGTGCAATGCATCAGCTAATAAGTACTGTTTACATATGTCCTTCTACTCCCAAGCTTCCACACTGCCTTCTGCATGGAGGGAAACATACTTCAAGGTTGATGAGAAATAAGAGAAGTGAAGTATTTCTACATTCTCTGAGCCCTACTCAATTAGGGCCCAGGGAAGGAGAATGGAGAGGAGAGGTGCAGAGGTTCTTAACTCTTCCCCAGCAGAAGTTTTAGAGGTCTGATGTAAAAAGATTTCTGAGTAATTTCTAAAGCTTGTAAGAAGCTAAAGTGCACAATAAAGTGAAAAGGAAACCTGCGAAACGGCAAATACTTTCCAATCAGATTTATGATAAAGACTTAATAGCCAGACTATATAGAGATTCAAACTGATTTTAAAATGGGCAAAATACTTGAATGGACATTTCCTATAAGGAAGGTAGACAATAAGTACTTGAAAAATGCTCCACATTGCAAATCAGGGAAAGGCAAACCAAAGCTCGGTGAGATACCACTTTACACCCATTAGGACGTTATTATCAGAACAAAATAACACAGGTTGGCAAGTGTGTGGTGAAAGTGGAACTCACTGATGGTGGCAAAATAGTGTGGCCATGGTAGCAAACAGTATAGTGATTCCTCAGAATAGTAAAATAAATTAGTATATGACTATCAATCTGATTTTTGGGTACATACCAAAGGAAATGAAAGCAGGGTCTCAAAGACAAGTTGGTACACAATTGTTCATAGCATTAGTCACAGGCAAAAAGTGGATTCTGCCGGAGTCCATCAAGAGATGAGTGGATCAACTTTAGTACATAATACAATGGACTATTATTCAGCCTTGAAAAGAAAGGAAATTCTGACATTAAATATGAAGTTAAGTGAAATGATCACAAAAGACAAACACGCTATGATTTCATTTATGTAAGTGTAGGCCAATTGATAAGAGAAATTAAGTAGAATGGTGGTGACCAGGGGCTTGGACACCGGTAGGAACAAAGGGTCAAATTTCAGTGTTGATGGATGAGAGTCACGGAGATGGACAGTGTGATGACTGTACTTCAATGTATTTAGTGATACAGATATGGTCAAAGGTGGTAAATTTTATGTGTAGCTTATTTTTTAAATTGTAATAATATGCACGCTCAAGTGTACTGTTTTTATACCAATTTTTAACACAAGTTTGAATTTTTTGTCAATAATATATTGTTAGGTACATCTTTCCTTCCCTTCTAGTCTGTAAAACTCGTCATTTCTTTGGGGTTCCCTGAGTTGGCTAAAGACAAAAACAAAAATTTCAACTCTATGGTGCTTAAACTCCTCCACATCCTCCCCATTAAAGACTGTAGCCGTTTATCCTCCCCCATTTAAAAAATCATGCGCAAACCGGCTTCGATGACCAATGTTACACGTTTCAATTTACAAAGTCATCAATGTTAACACAAAACGCTGCGTAACCGCTTCACACAGCGGGCGGCCACTTAAGCCTTCCAAGCAGAAGCGTCCCGTTGATAAAAGAGAAAAATCCCAACCTGAAACCAGCCAATAGGGACAGGCCCCGCCCCCTCGGCGGAGCCAATCATCTGCGCGCCCGGGAAGGCCGCCCAGCGGCTGGCCGAGCGAGTCGATAACCAGCCCCGCGCGTCCCTGCTCCCGCTCCGTCTCCTCTCCGTCGCCCTGGAAAGCGTCTCGCCATCTTCTCCCGTCTGCTGTCGCCGGTGTCTGGCTTCCGGGACAGGCTGGTGCGAGACGGGGAAGTGAGTCCGCGTGTCGGGTGTGTTTGTGCGGCAGCGAGAGCTGCGGCTCGGCCCCGCAGGACCCGCGGGCGTTGCCGGGCCGCGCTAGCCCGTCCCGCGGCCGCCCCGGCCTGCGGCGCGCTTGGGGAACTTGGAAACGGGGTGGGCGCGCGAGCTGTTCCCCGCGGCCGCGGGCAGCTGGCCTCTGCTCCCTGCCGTGGCGACCTCTGGTCCAGAGCGGCTGGGGAAAGGGACAAGCCCGAGCAGGGCCACTCCCGAGCGAACGTTGACGTTTGTTGACTTTCGTCGTCTCTGAAATAGAGCCGATATGCAGCTGGCTCGTATTTGATCGTAAACGACTGAATATTCCAAGTTAAGTTGGAGTGCATGAACGTTAAGGGATGTGCATGAACCAGCAGGTGGTGGTGATAACCGATGGCGGTTATCAGCGCGAAGCCCCCCAGGTTGGCTTCATTATCTTCACTACGGCGTCTGGGGCGGGGTAGAAACGCGCCTAGTGAGGCTGCGAGCCGGACTGGGGAAACTGCGCAGACCCAGCTGCTGAACGGCTCCATCCTCGTGAGACGGTTAGTTAATGCAGGGTTTGGCCTGCTGTATTGTCAGAGAGATTGGAGAGAGACTTGTCACACTGGGGGGCTCAGTGGGATCAGTCCCAAAACGCTGAGCCCCGAACGACGGGAATGGTGAGGTTTTATACAGCGTGAGGAACCTTGTCATCCCATCCAGCATAGCATAAGCATTCTTTATTGTTTGGGAGGTGGGTCAAGGTAGCCAGAGCTACTTCTGTGGGCCAGCAGCTCACTGCAGGAACTTTCTGCTCCAGCAAGCAGCAGAATCCAAGCAGCAGACTCCCCCAGGCAGAAGGCCTGGGACATAGCGGAACCTAAATTAAGACCTGGGAAACTTCCTGCTTCTATCCACTAGGGGTGTCCTCCTCATTACACATGTGACTTCACTGAAATCAGGGAGTTTTCTTCTGAGCCCATTTCTGCCTAGTAGCTAGCAGCGTCCTTGGGCACCCAGTCTTCCCAGGGAGCGCTCCTGTCTAGTAGCTCCCTGCACACCCTCCCGCATTCTCTCCCCAGGGTAGAGATGTGGGTCTGGGAAGTAGTTGCCCCTCTCTGTTCTCTGAGTAGCTCAAAGGAGACACTAGCGGATGGCCACGCCGAGGGGACAGGCTTCTTACAGCCAGTTTCCCCTCCGGCAAGTTAACCTGTTTTCCTTATCTGAAAAAGGTAGTCCTAATGCCCAAAAGTGGATGACTGGATTCAAAAGATGTGTACATATACACAATGGAATATTACTCAGCAATCAAAAAGATAAACACGTGCCTTTTGCAGCAACATGGATGGAGTTGGAAGGGATCATGCTTACTGAAGTAAGCCAGAAAGAAAAGGGAAAATACCAGATGATTTCACTCATAGCAGGAGCATAACGGACCAAGGGGAAAAGAATAATAATGAACTCTATATCAGAGACATTTCATGGGGTGGGATGGGAAATGGGATCAAAAACAGTGGGGGGAGGGAAATGCCCTGGACTATGGTGATGGCACACAGATGATTTGGCGATGGGTATTACAACTGAGATGGAAAAAGGCACAAAGTGATGTAAAAATAAACTATTATTTTAAAAAAAGAAGAAAAAAAGTAGTACTGTTCCCAAGGATTCACATGGGGGGGCCTGGAGAGGACTTTGGCACAGTTAACAAATAATAGGGAATCTGTATAGTAATTTTGATACTGGTGTCAAAAAACATTTTTAAAATATGAAAAAAATACTTAAAAAAATAGAAGCGGGGGAGAGAGACTCTTAGAAGTAGTAGAGTCACAGGTGCCACTTTAAGCACTTGCTCCTCAGTGGAGTCCGTGGCCTAGCACCTGGGCCCGACTAGGGCTTGTTAGTCATGCAGGCTCTCACGCCCACCCCAGACTGGCCCTGTTTTCCAAGAGCTCTCCAACAGGTGTGGCAGATACAGCTCTTTCGACGTGAGGTCAGTGGTGAGGTTTAGTCAGCGACCACCCGGATGTAGAAGAGGACTTGACTGTCTGCCTTACGGTCTCCTGTCAGCCCTGGCCGAGCACTCGCCCCGAAAGCGCTGCGCCTTGTCTGTGTGCAGGGCAAGTGGCCACTCGACTCTGACTGTCACCTGAGGTTAATGTTAGGGCGCGTGGGAGTGCGGCTGCGGGCCTCACGTGCCTGACTGGGGACACCTAGAACATGGGTGCGGGTACTCATATGTGCACCCCTGGGACTAGGGGTCAGGGTTATGGGGGCGGCGTCTCACGGGTGGGGGGTTGTGCTGGGCCAGAGAAAGAGTAAAGATTTATGGGGGGAGGGGGCAGGAAGCTTGGTTGCCTGCCTCCCTCCCAGCCCCCCACCTTGCCTGCCTGTGGGCTCGCCAGAGCTCTGTGGCATGACTTTGAGTGTCTCAGTTAAAACTCAGTGCAGTATTGGGATGTATGAAAATGTGTTATTTTTTTTTTTTTTTAAAGATTTATTTATTTATTCATACAGAACTGGGGTATAGGCCAGAGGCTCAGGGACGGTGAGAGGCTTCACCAGAGACAGAGTGGGGAGCAGAACAGGCAGACTGACGAAGTACACTGCTGAGGGGAGCAGCGGGCGGGTCAGGAGAGGTCTGGCTCGCCATGTGGTCTCCTCCGGGGCAGGCGGCAGGCGGGAATCGAACTCATGCGGAAGTGGCTTCAGATTCTCAGTGCTGCGCTCCAACCCGCTGCGCCACCAGGGAGAGCCGAAAATGTGTTATTTTTTTTTTTAAATAATAGTTTATTTTTACATCCTTTTGTGCCTTTTTCCATCTCAGTTGTGATCCCCAATGGCTTTCCATCACCAAGTCACCAGTGTGCCATCACCACAGTCCAGTGCATTTCCCTCCCCCCACCATTTTTGATCCCATTCCCTGCCCCACCCCATGAAATGTCTCTGGTATAGAGCTGTTCATTATTATTTTCTCGCCTGGTCTGTTATACTCCTGCTATGGAAAAATGTGTATCATTTATATATTGGTCTTCATCCTCAGTAGCTCCCCAAATTTTGGAATTTCTTAAGTGTTGAGAGTGATAAAGGTGGCTCTTGTTCTGTTAACGAGGCTAACTTTGGGGGAGAACCTGATGCCTGGGTCCCGCCACCTGAGTAGGGAGTGGAGCCAGGGGTTGAGTCAGTTGCCGGTGGCCAGGGGCTTCGCTCCGTCATGCCTGTGTGGGAAGCCGCTGCCAGACGTCCGGAAAGGAGGGACTTAGCACTGCTGGGTTGGAGAATGATGCACTTGCAGAGGGCATGGAAGCGCCGTGCCTCTGTGTGCCTGCCCTGTGCGCCTCTGCCAACTGGCTGTTTCTGGGTAACATCCAGGTAGTAAATTGGTGACCTGGTGAGTAAACAGATTTGGTAGTTCCGTGAACTTAGGGCTGTGTTGAAAGTGAAGGTGTCTTAGACTGTGCCTATCCCCTGTGGAATCCGATGCTGTCTCTGGTAGTGTCAGCATCCAGCTGAATTCTCAGGCACCCTGCTGGTGTTGGCGAATTGCTTGTGGGTGTGGGATGTCTTCATACACACTCTGGAAGTGAGTCCAGGAACCCACTTCAGGAAATTCAGCTGGAAACAAAGCCCCGGCCAGTCACCCTTTATTATACTGCAGAAAGCCCCCATGGATGTCTGGAGTTCTGCCCCTCTGCATCTTTCTTCAGCTTTGGTACTCTCCTGTGTGGCCTTCTGGGCTCTGCCTGGCTGGCCCCTCGTCCCCATGTCCCCATGTCCTGGAAGCTCTCTGCAGGCATAGAAGGACTGTCCATGATTGTCGCCCATCTTCCAAAGACCATTATTCTTCCTTGCCTGGTGTCCAGTCTTGAAAACTTATTTCATGCAGAGGGTAAATCTGGTCCCTGTCACTCCATGTTGGCTGAAGTATTGGAATTTCTGTGTCAGCCACCTGAATTGTCCCTTTATTCCTGTCAGTGCCCACCACATTAGGCCCTGTCCTCTGATCACTTCACCTCTCTGCTGCCGTCATAGTGATCTGCTCCCTCCTTTCCCACTGGCTTCGGAGCACCTGCCTACTAGCACAGGCTGGCGGCATCTCTGGCGCGCTCTCCCTCTGGGTCCTGATGTTGGCCCGCCCGGGCACTCTTGTCGGCAGAACAGGTTGCCTGGTGACCTTCCCCCTGACTTTAATCCCCTACATCCTGCTGGCTGTCCTGGTCTTCCCGTAGCCCAGCTCCTCTCCTTGGCGCCTTCATTCTCCACACGGCAGCCACAGTGACTTAGTTCTGAACTACCCAGGTTCTGTCACCTCCCTGCCTAAGGCCCTCTGTGTCTTCCCGTTGCGAGTAGACATAAGAGCCGCAGTGACGTGCTCCCCCACTCATGACAGGACTCAGCCAAGTGCCCCTGACCCCGGCTGCTCTGCTCACTCGGTGTTTCCTCCCGTGGTGTTTGTTCTCCCAGGTCTTCTAAGGCTAGCCGGTCCCTACTGGGCACGACCCCCTGCAGATGGCGCCGCTAGAGGAGGTGCTAGCTCCTCCCCAGCCTGGGGGGCAGCGTGTTCCCAGGGACTTTGGCTGCGCGGGCAGTCAGCAAGGGATCGCGTGGGACCTGAAGGAGGCAGCACCCACTTGCGGGCTGTCAAGGGGTAGCTCAGGTGTCCCTCCTGCCCTGGCCTGTCCATGGGGCCTGGGGACCGGGTTCCAAGTGGGCGGGGCGGGGGTGGGAGAGGCAGAAGTCAGTGATGAGGTGGCAGCGGTCAGCCCTCCTGTGGGCCGGCGCAGCATTGCCCCTGCGTAGTGTTTGGGCTAAAGTGTCACGGCCAGCCCAGACGCCGGCCAGCCCAGACGCCGGCCAGCCCAGACGCCGGCCAGCCCAGACGCCGGCCAGCCCAGACGCCGGCCAGCCCAGACGCTGGCCGAGTTTGCTGTTACCTTGTCTCCTCCGAGGGCTGCTCCAAAATACTCAGCTGTTGCCCACCTGCCGCCTTTTATTTTCCGACCCATGGGACTCACCACTCTGAAATTGTATCATTTTGTCAAAGTACTGTCCCCTCCCCCAGGACGTGAGCTGCTTGGACGGCCAGGTCCTGGCCCCGACTGTCCTATCACTTCCCCTGCGGTAGCCAGTAGGCTTCGCAAATGTCGGACAGGCGATGCCGAGCTTTCCTCCAGCACTGTGTTCTGATCCTGAACTTGGTTTTAAAGCTGGCAGTGTCACCATGTTTGCTGCTGGGGGCCTCAGAGCCGGGGGCTCGCCCTCGCCCCTCTGCACCAAGTCCCCTCACCCGCAGACATGCCCTCTGCCCGCGCTCACGCCAGCCTCAGCCTGCTGGCTGGGCCGGATCTAGCTCCTCACTCTGCAGGAGCGGGGTGCCCCCCTAGCTCCCATCACCTCGGGAAGCCCTTTGGCAGATGCAGTTCCCCTTGGCCTTTTACCTCCCGGCAGCCCACAGGCCTCTCTGGGTCCGTGCACCTGTGCCTTTCGCTTCTCTGTCCCCTGATGTCACACGCTTAGATTGTGACCCATCGTTCAAAATCCACTTCTTTCTCACAATCCAGATATTTCTCAGGAAATAGCTCCTGTTTCTCCCATCAGCTGTGCGCTCTTCCCTTAGAGCAGCTGGTTTCCCTTAGTGCCTGCCCTAGCTTTGATCATGGCACTTAGAATAACCAGCCTTGGGCTGGGTGTGGGGTTGGAGAGGTGGAGGGGGCTTTCTGGAGGCCGCATTGGAGGGTGAATGCAGATCCGAGGCAGCTGTGACCCTCCCCAGGGAGCCACCGTATGCAGGGTTTCTCTGCTGCACACTGGGCCGACCCGGGATGCCTTAAACCCCCGTGTCCGGATGGCATCGCTGGAGATTCTGATTTAATCTGTCTGGGATGGGACCAGGCATCAAGAATTTTAGAAGTTCCTCAGGGGGTTCTAATACACCGGCAGTGCTGAGAAGGCCCTGTGAGGGAAGAAGTGGACCACTTGGGGCCAGCCCAGGGCCTTCCTCTAGGAGCTGGGAGCACAGGGCCGGCTGCGACTGAGCGGGGTTTATTCTAGAGCTAGACTGCATGCCACAATGAGAGGGCCCAGGACTTGCTCCTTTGGGATCCCCTTACCTGAGCAGCACTGGGAGGGTAAAGACCGGCTGTGCAGCGGCAGGCTCCGGGGGAGGGTGACGCCCTCCAGCCATGGCTGCCTCTGGTGCACCCGGGAAGCGGCAGCGTGATGGGGAACTGAATGTTTAATTTTTTTTAATTTTAACTAAACTCAAGAGACCACGTGTGGCCAGAGGCTGCTGCATTAAACAGTGCTGACGTGGTTTGACAGTGTTTGTGGAGGCTTCTGTGGGCCAAGTCTAACTTTTCCTGATGTGATTCGCATTACTGTTCGCCCGTTTGACGTGTACGGCTGAGTGGTGTGTACTGTGATCGGTGCGTATAGCCATCACAACTTTAGATCATTTTTGCCATCTCAGAAGGTTACCCTGCACTGTTTACCTCACACCCTCCCTGTCCTTAGGTCTCCAGCCTTAAACACCTCCTGAACTACTTCCTGCTGCTGTACCTTTGCTTATTCTAACAGCTCAATTAATGGAACCTGTGCCATGTTCTTTGGTGACTGGCTTTGACCCAGCATGATACCAGGGAAACGGCGGTGCCGGCCTCTGTCCCCCACCGTGTTGCGGGGGAGCAGGGAGTATTTTTATTTCAGTTGTTACTCATAGCATTATCTTAGTACTAGAAGGAGCTAGACAGTTTTTATTAAAAAACAATTTCTTCTAAAAATATTTTTACTCCATGCTGTCTGTCACAGTCCATTGAGCGTTCCTGCCTTCCCGCAGGATGCTTCGCGCTGTGCTCCTGTGCGGGTGTCTGTGGCTGGTGGCTGGTGACGACCACCATGAAGACTGGATAGACCCCACGGACATGCTCAACTACGACGCGGCCTCGGGGACCATGCGGAAGTCTCAGGTGCCTCTGGGAAAGTTGCCTGTTTTCGCTGCGGGATTGCAGAGCTGTGAGGCAGTCAGGGGTTTCGCAGCCCGGCAGGCCTCTCCTGGCTCTAAGACCTCTCAGTCCTACCTGGGAACTTCTCTTTTGAATTTGATGTATAGCAACTGACTTTTAATTCTTAGGTAGTATATACATTTGGGACTTTTAATTTTTTTTTTGTGGGGGGAAGGAGAAGAGGTTCAAACATAGGTGAGGAAAGCTTTAAATTATAAATACAAAATGTTATATAATAAGCAATACACATATAACATCAATGTAATATATTAGATGATAGATAAGACTGTTTTATTAAATAGTCAGAACTGTAGTCTTCAATAGCTGCAGGTGATTTTCCAGAGCTGAACTATAAACAAATAAAACCTTTGTTTCAGGTGAAATATGGTGTATCAGGGAAAAGCGAAGGCAGCCCTGACCTGCCCTCTGCCGAGGAATTGTCAGCATGTTACAGCAGACTTGATTTGTTGACTCATCAGGTGAGATTCTTTACATTTGTGAAAAAATTTTTTTAAGATTTATTTATTTACGCACACAGAACTGGGGTACAGGCCAGAGGTGCAGAGGACTCACCAGAGACAGTGGGGAGCAGAAGAGGCCGACGGATGAAGCGCACTGCTGGGGGAGCAGCGGGGAGACCGAGAGGTCTGAGGCGCCATATTGTTAGAGTGGGGACCAGCTCGCTGGCTGTGTAGACGGAGTGCACCGGTGGTGGGGCTGAGGCAGACCAGAGGCAACAGATGCAGGGGCGGCAGTGCTGGAGGCCCAGAGTGAGAGACTGCAGGGCTGAAGGGAGCTGAGGGAAAGAAGACAGGAAGAGCTGGTGCAAATGACTGAGATTTCCGGGCCTCCCTGCTGGCGCCAGGGGTTAAAGTACATCACCCTGAACCTCTCCGCAGCCACTGCGACATGAGTTCGATCCCCGCCAGGGAGCTGACCCACAGGGTGCGGCAGACCTCTCCTGACCCGCCCGCTGCTCCCCTCAGCAGTGTACTTCGTCCATCTGCCTGTTCTGCTCCCCGCTCTGTCTCTGGTGAAGCCTCTCACCCTACCCTACCCAGTCTGACCTACACCCCAGCTCTTGGATGCATAAATAAATGAAATACATCTTTAAAAATAAATAAATAAATGAGAGATTTCCAGCTGAAAAGACGAGAGAGCTTGTTAATTGCAACCAGGTGGGTTTCTGTTGGAGGTCTCTTAGGACCTGCTTGGGCTCTCAGCAGAGGTGGATGTTGTCTCACCTGGGTGCTAGCAAAGAATATGCTTGGCTAAAATTTGCCTCAGTTTATCTGCACTTGTTTGGTAGAGTGAGTAAATTTGATTGCAAGCTAGGGAAATGCAGAAATGCCTTTTTACAGAAATTTTTCATTGCATTGTTTATGATTTTGGTTCAACTATGATTGGTAAAATGGAATGTTGAGTTTTGTCTAAACTAAACAAAATGTTGTTTTTCTTAAAGAGAAATTTGAAAATGTAAAAAGGTTTGTAAACCTTGCCTAAAAGTAGAGGAAATTGACACAATTTTTAAGTCTACATGGGACACTTAGTTGCCCCATTTCTGTGCTCAGTTCAGCTCATAGTCCAAACTTGGTTAAAAATACAAGATGCCGGCCCTGCCTGGTGGCGCAGCGGGTTAAAGCGCAGCACAAAGAAGCTTAAGCCACTTCCCCATGAGTTCGATTCCCGCCTGCCCTGGAGGTGACCACGTGGCACGGCAGACCTCTCCTGACCCGCCCGCTGTTCCCCTCAGCAGTGTGCTTCGTAGATCTGCCTGTTCTGCTCCCCACTCTGTCTCTGGTGAATCCTCTCACCCTCCGCATCTCTGGCCTGGACCCCAGTTCTGTACAAATAAATCTTTAAAAAAAAAAATACAAAATGCTTGACCTGGGCTCTGTAAGTGGGCACTGTCTTCTCCTGCCACAGCCCTGGGCACTTGCCGAGCTGTGACCAGAGGAAGACGGAGGAATCTGGGCTGTCTAGTGTCACGTCCCGGTGGCTCACACAAGTGCTGACTCCATGGGAGTAAAAGGTTTTACTGGAACCACAATATGTGTCCGTTGGGGGGAAGCCGTGTCACACCGCTCCCCGAGTATGCAGTTCAGTGGGCAGCACAGTGGGGAGCCTGGAGCACAGAGGGGCGGAGCTGGCCGTGGTTTCCAGGTGGCTGCCACCTGCCAGAGGGAGGCCAGTCCCTCACTGGTCCCAGAGCCGGGGCGGAAGCTGCCCAGGCTGGCTTAAGCCCAGGGCCTGTCACTCTGCGAGGCCTGCTACCAGGGCCACCTGAGAAGTTTAATTGCGCAGGGCCTCTGGCACAGCCCGGTCTCATCCGTCTTTGCCTCTCCCACGGCTCTTCGGCAGTGTCTTTGTAAATGAGTGGTTGTGTTTCAGTTGGCGACTTTGGTTTGCTCTGTCCCCATGTCTGGGGCCGCTGCAGTGTCGGCCCATGACGGGCAGCCTAGGGAGCCGGGGCTCACGAGCTTTGTCTTCGCCTTCTCCTGTTTATATTTTTCTGTCTTCCTTTCATTCCTTATTTGTTGATTCATTACTTTGGAATCAGGAAGAGCAGATTGGTCCAGATGTTCTGCTTATCCATGTCTCTGCCTCCTTCATGATCTTTAGTTTTAAAATTGTGGAAAGTCAGCAGAAAAACTGCCAGGTCAGGACTAAGTGCTAAACTGGGTGGGTTCACTCCCTCTTCCCCCCAACCCCCAACCTGCCTTTTACAAAGAAAACCCAGGGAGTCGGCAAGCTCCCCATTTTAACTGATGAGTGGGAGCTTGTTGACAATAACCAGCTCTTTTGCTTGGTCTCATGGGGCCACTAGGCTGGAAGTTTGACCCTTCCTTTGAGGTTTTTTTTTTTTTTTTTTTTTAAGATTTCTTATGCATACAGAACGGTGTGGGGAGCAGAACAGGCAGACTGACAAGTACACTGCTGAGGGGAGCAGCATGGGGGAGGTCAGGAGAGGTCTGCCGCGCCATGTGGTCACCTCCAGGGCCGACCGGGGATTGAACTCATGCTGAAGCCGCTGAGGCCAGCTTCACAGTGCTGTGCTTCAACGGGTTGTGCACCAGGGAGGGCCGGAGGGCCCTTACATTGAGCTTTGATGCCAACTAATGTTGAATTTCTTTGTGGTTACAGATTGATGAGTGTGAGAAGAAGAAGAGGGAAGATTATGAAAGTCAAAGCAATCCTGTTTTTAGGAGATACTTAAATAAGATTTTAAATGAAGCCAGAAAGCTTGGACTTGTGAGTATTTGCTGGTGTGATGCTAATTAGTCTTTTCATGTGTTAACTTACAATCGACACTGGTGCAGGATCATGATGCCTTCACCCGAGAGCATACCTGGCTCACCCTTTCCCAAAACCCACTTATGCAGGACGGAAGGCCCCGCCTTGCCTCAGCTCTGAGCTGTCTCACTGGGCTTGGGGCGGGAGCTGCGTTCGATTTGCTGATGGCACTGTGTGAAACAGGAACTTAGTGGACACGTGTCCTGGTGAGAAAACTCTGTCTTGTGTGTTCTAACATCTGCACACTTTCTTGTACCTGCAGGAATGACGTAAGATGAATTTATGTGGCAGAAAACTGCCTAGTGGCTTTGCTCTAGCTGTTCACTTTAGCAAGTGCTGCTCCGGGCAGTCCACACTGCTCACGCGTGTCTGAGTAGTGTTGGCATTGTCTTCACTTTGGGAAATCAAGACACTGAGAAACAAGGGAAGCCAAAGGAGTGTTCAATGAACAGTGTAACTCACCTTATTTTGGAAACATGCAGGAGGACACTGTCTCAGGGTGAGGGGTGACAGGGTCGTCCCATGAGAGAAGGCCAAGAAATACCTAACATGGAGAAGCTCAAAGTGCTTAGTTTCTGGTTTGTTAAAATATCAATCGGCGGCTGCTCTTTTTATGCTTAGGATGATATGAATTACATGACGTTTCTGTCATTTTATAATGGCTTTTTCATATTTCTCTATTTGCTCTTATAGAAAAAAAGAACCTTACTTGTATTAACCCATTTAATGAATGTGAAATGTTTATAGTGATTTTGCTAATTTGAACTCATACTAATCAAGGTAGTTGCTCAGGTATGCTGGTGGGGATCCACATTTTGCTGCTTTTCGAGGTCCCTTTATTTTTCTTACTTGTGCTACTACAAATTTAGCAGGGACAAGGTCTAAACTGAATCATAATGAAGCTGTGCAGTCAGTCATTATGTGTGGGTTCTCTTTGAGGTTTGCCTCCCACTAGACTGTGACTCCAGCCAGGGCCCCTCGCTCCGTCACCCCTGGTCATATCAGAGCAGCAGCACAGTCTCAGCCGCATCGAGCGGGCCAGGCTCTGCCCTCTTCTCCTGCTATGAGCAATCATTTTTCAAGGTCTCTGTAGTGCTGCATTTTCCAAGCTTTGTTGTGCTTGATGGTGCTTTACTCTTTACGGTAGCTCCCAATTGTAGTGCCAGGGTGGCTGTCATGTGTCTCATCAAAACTTATTTAAAATCCCCTGTTAGATAAGCTTAGTTCAGCATGAGTTAGAGCTGGGGAGAGAGGGATTGTCTGTGTATGTGCACATAAGTGCACACTCGCCACATAGCTACTCTAGTTATATGATGTACGTTAATATATACATTAAATAAGGTGTTTTCAAACAAACACGTAAAAAAGATTACATGTTGATTGATGAAATGCCTGACACGTCAGGCATCCAAACCTGTAGGATCACGGTTCAGCATTGGCTTACTAGTGTTCGGTGACTTTCTAGAACCTGACTGCTGCACACCGCCAAATTCAGCCTCAGCCTATTAAAATGTGCAATCTTGTACAAGTTTTGTAAGTTTTCATGTTTTATCTTTGGTTTTCTTGTTGGCTGAGACAGATATCATTACTCTTACGGGTATCTCTTACGGGTATGAAATATTATGGACTTAGGTATTTAGGTCTAACTCAGTTTTTGCCTTAAAATGACTCAGTGAGTAAAAAAAAAGTGAATAATCTAATGATAGAATTCTTTTTTTTTTTTTTTAATTTAAAATCTAATTCAGTCTGATGAAGACAAAGGTGACTTGCATTATGATGCTGAAATTATCCTTAAACGACAAACCCTGTTAGAAATACAGAAGTTTCTCAGTGGCGGGGAGTGGAAGTCAGGCGCCTTGGATGACGCCCTGAGTGACATCTTAATAAACTTTAAGGTTCATGATTTTGAAAAGTGGAAGTGGCGATTTGAAGATCATTTTGGAGTGGATCCATATGACGTGTTCATGGTAAGATGGCAGAGGGGAGGTGAGGGGAGGTGTGCCAACAGTTTCTGTCTTTAAACACTTTGAAAACGACCAGAATTCCGTAACCTGCACCAAGCCCCAGGGACAGGCCAGATGCAGCAGGGTGGTACAGAGTTGGCGTGTTTGCGTGCACCTGTTCGGTGGACGATTATCTGCTGTTGGGGGGAGATGACCGGGCCCTCACTCTGCTTTCCGCTCCTTTTTGCTCTCAAGGTGCTTCTCTGTCTGCTGTGTGTGGTGATGTTAGTGGCCACGGAGCTGTGGACCTACATTCGTTGGTACACGCAGCTGAGACGAATCTTATTCATCAGTTTTTTCTTCAGCTTGGGATGGAATTGGATATATCTATATAAGGTACTGAAGAGGTGGGAGGGCCCAGAAATTTTAATAACAGTAGGCTGTTGATGATTGAGAGCTGATGGACTCTCGCCTCCCTGGGGCCAGAAGCGGGGCGGGGCTCGGCGGCCGCTGGTTGGCTGCATTTGGCTTCTTGCCAGTTGGTGGGGGAAACGCTGAGGTTCTAATTTTCATGCCCCAAGTTCTACGGGTGGCGTTTGGGCAGTTAAATCAGAGTAAAGTTTGGGAGACAATTTTAAAATTCTTAGGTAGATAATTTGGCACGTGTCCTATTGGTCTTAGAACAATGATAACAAAATGCTGTTTTTAAAAGTTATTTCCTTAATTTAAAAATTGTATGCTCACGGTAGAAAATTTCGACTAACAAAAATTTTAATTTTTTTTTAAAGATTTAGTCATACAGAATTGGGGTACAGGCCAGAGATGCAGAGGGTGAGAGGCTTCACAGAGATAGAGCGGGGAGCAGAACAGGCAGATGGACCAAGTACCCTGCTGAGGGGAGCAGCGGGCGGGTCAGGAGAGGTTTGCAGCGCCTTGTGGTCACTCCAGGGCAGGCGGAGATCGAACTCATGCAGAAAGTGGCTTTAGCTTCTCAGTGCAGTGCTTTAACCCGCTGCGCCACCAGGGAGGGCCCAGAAATTTTAATTTTTTAAAGCTACCATTATATCATCTAAAGATAACTACTGCCAATATTTTGAGGCATTTCCAGTCGTTTTTACTGATTTTCAATTCTTTGAAAATTGGGATCATAGAAATCTAAAAGACGCATATAGTTCCTGTCAAAATAACATCGTCCTTGAAGAGAGACTTTTAAGTCTAGCAGGGTGAAGCAAGTTAGCCAATTATTTGAGTAAAATCATCTCACTAGATCACCATTATGTTTCTTTAACCTTTTCTCTAAGTTCTGTAACTTTTAAATCTAGTTATTTACAAATTGAAAGAAGAAAGGTGGTTTGGTTGAGTATTGTTTCTTTCCCCTGGGGCTTTGACTTATAAAAGATACTTGGTCATTTTTGCTGCAAACTGCCAGAAACACAGTGCTACTCTATCATGAGTTGAAAAAGAAGATGAGAGGTGGTCGGGCCTTCTGTGCGTATCTGACTGTGTTGGGGCAAAGCACGAACTATATTTGAATTAACTTGGAGTTTTTTTTAAACAACCTTAGTAAACTGGTCTCCTTTTATTACTTCATAGTTCAAGGCAGTTGTAGTTTATTCTTGTGGTAAGACTGTCTTGAGCGGAAAAGAGCTGTTCTTTAAAAATATTACATGTTTCTTCTATTAAAATTTTTTGAGCACTGTGGCTTGGGATAAACAGTGCAGAGGGCTTTGAGGTGTTTCGGGGCGGGCAGGTGCCGCTTCCATTGTGAGCGACGTGCGCGCCCCCTTGGTCCCTCCAGCTGGCTTTCGCGCAGCATCAGGCCGAAGTCGCCAAGATGGAGCCACGGAATAACGTGTGTGCCGAGAAGATGGACTGGGCTGGAAGTCTCTGGGGTGAGTCTGGTTCGCTGCCCACTTCAAAGCAGACTTTCTGAGAATGCGGAGGCATGCCAGCGGTTACAAAGCAAGGCCAGGAGGAGGTTTTTGATGACCGAATCTTTAAGGCCAGGGGAACTTTCCAGAGTCATGGGATTCAGACCGGCCACTGACCTGTGCGCATGCACTGCCGGGGGAGGAAGGGCAGTGCCCGGGGGAGGGAGGAAAGGCCGCTCCGAAGTCGTCTCCCCGAGACTGGCGCAGCCTGTGCGCTGCCGCGTGGCGAGTGCAGGCTGCGTCTTCACAGACTCGCGCCGCGAGGAGTCGCTGTGTGTGCGACTCGATACGCCTCTGGGCTTAGTCTCCAGTGAACTCGTGAAATCTTCACTTTTTTCTGGTTGTTACCGAGGGGAAGTTAATTTTGTCTTCTGTATTGTATAAATATTCTCACTGATGTTGACTGCTTTCGCGCTTGATGATATCTGGCAGTAGCTCAGATCCCTTGGTAAATGTCAAGCCCATGGTGACAGACCCAGGAGAGCGTCTCAGCAGATTCTGCCAGCCAGGTGCCCAGGTGTCTCATAAAATGTTAATGGCGACCACACATCGGCCTGGCTGGCTGACTCCTGGGGACAGCTCGGTGCCCGTCTAGCCCAGGCTAGTAGGGTTGTGTACATACTAGCAGACTCACGTTCCACTCCATCTTGCAAAATGAGTAAAAAACGGACCTTTGTCGTTAAAACTGAGCAGTGTAGATTCACAGGTAGTTAGTTGGAAGAAACAGTATCAAGAGATCGTGTTTGCCGTTTCCCCACCCTGCCAAGGAGGTGACATCTCGCACACCAGTAGTTCAGCTGGTGATCAGCTGTGACACAGGCCTGAGTTCATTATGTGTAAGGAGCTTTCAGCTTATTTTGGAAATATTCATAAAATATTTTATCAGTGTATGACTTGTATAATTTGAATGGATTTTTAAAATAAATGAAAAGTTTAAATATCAGCACTGCAGGAGTCTTTAAAACAATTTAAGATTTTTGAGGGGGGCGGGGAAACAGAAGGATAAAGCCAAAAAACTGTCTTACTTGGAAAGGAAATGTGATTTTTTTTATGACTTGGTGTTTTGTCTGTTTCTCTAACTAGAGTGGTTTAGAAGTTCTTGGACCTATAAGGATGACCCATGCCAAAAATACTATGAGCTCTTAGTAGTCAACCCTATTTGGTTGGTCCCACCAACAAAGGTATAGAATATATTTTGTAAAATTACTTATACAAAGTCAGTCTCTTGCATTTAGTAGAAATTGTTAGTGTTTTTACAATTCTTTTGCAAATAAAAAACCCTCTGTTCTGGAAAAAATACTTCCATTACACAGTGCTTATTCACCTTAAGCATAAGACAGAGATTTGATTTGTAACGAGAATTTAGCCTCAGCACAGTGGGTTTGGTTCATTCTGTGTGCCTAAGTGCTTTGAGGGACAAAACTGAAGTTGCTCTTTTGTTCCAGGTAGTGGCAGTTACGTTTACCAGCTTTGTCACGGAGCCACTGAAACACATCGGAAAAGGCACTGGCGAGTTTATCCGAGCGCTCATGAAGGAGATCCCTGTGTTACTCCACATCCCAGTGCTGGTGATCATGGCCTTTGCTGTCCTGGTTGGTACAGAGCCCTGGGAGCAGCTTCTGGGGCTCACAGAAAAAAGCCACTTCTAAAATTATTTATTGGGCTGCTTTGATACTGTTAATACAGGGCCAGAACAGCCAATAAAATCTGAAGTCCTTACACAGACATGTCGGTATTTAAATACTACTTACAAGCATGTAACCCATGAGCCGTGAGTGACAAAGTCACTTTAGCGAAGTCCCTGTGCTGTGCATACACAAGAGAAGGAAGCCGACACATAATGCCCTTGTGTAATGAAAGGTTTCGGCCTCACAGATCCGTTGCAAGAGTCTCTGGGATCTTCTCGGGAGTCCCTGAGCCAGACTTTGAGGACTGCCCAAAGAAAACTTATCCCAGGGAATGTTACTCAGTCCCTGCTGAATTTTGCTGTAGTTGAAACCAAATTTGTAAAATAAACCCACAGGAGAATGTTTGCATGGTAATGTCTGACTTCACTGCTTATGGTGGGTGTGAGTATAGGAAACATAGGAACAGGTGTCTTCCAATATAGATTGCTACTTTTTAGCTTAACTACTCTTACTGTAATTCAGTTAGTGTGTCCAACTGACTGAAATGTCCACATAATAATTTCTCAGAATTGTTTTTGGCTTTTCTGGCCCTGTATTCATCTAAAAGGTCTCTAATGGGGAAAAAATGAGATTAACTTATGTCTCTCTATGCCACAAGTTCAGTGCCCAGAACAAAGCACCTTACCTGTCATTGTAGTCAGCCAGTAAGTGCTCAGTGAAAGGTATTTCTTTTCCTTTTAGAGTTTCTGCTATGGTGCTGGGAAATCTATTAATATGCTGAGTTTGTCTGGAGGTCCTGAGAGACAACCACCTGCACTTCAGCCAGGTGACAGACGACAGCCCCGGGAAGTCGACTATAGGCCCCATGCAGGAGCAGGTGATGCAGATTTCTGTTATAGGAGCCAGATTGGGCCCAGTGAGCAAGGCCCTTGTGAAAACTCATATGAGGGTAGAAGAGATGTTTTGAGAGAGAGAGATGTTCACTTGAGATATCAGACTGGCAACAAGAGCCCCGAAGTGCTCCGGGCAGCCGACTTACCAGACGCAGAGGCCAGAGAGCGCCCCGAGGTGCCCATTGTAAGTCAGCAACTGTTTGTTTTGCTGTCGCTTGTAGCAGGTGGAAGTGCTTCCTGTAGAGCTGGTTAAAGACTTTTTACTGTTTACCTGTTAACTGTGTCGTTAGTGATGTGATTAGGAACTCCTTTCTGGTCAAGAGTTAGTCCAGACTCCTCAGAAGGGGTAAAATGAAATTTAACTTTTATGTTAAATACTATTGAGCAGTGGTTTGTTAGAACTGTTGATGATTTGTGATAAACTTTTTTTTTTTTTTTTTATGAATACGAGAACTGGGTGGGGTACAGGCCAGAGGTGGAGGTGGGTGGGAGGATTCACCAGGAGAGCAGAACAGGCAGATCACCCGCTGAGGGGGGCAGCGGGCCAGACAGGAGAGGCCTGCTGCTCCATGTGGGTCAGCTCCCTGGATGAGGGTCCCTTGCTGGGGATAGGACTTGTGCTGCAGAAGCTGCAAATAGCTTCATAGTGCTGCGTTTTAACCCCGTGAGCCACGACGGAGACCCCAATTTGTGATTAACCTTTTAGGAAACAACTGAGCAGGACTGCAATTTCTACCTTTGAAGAGATCAGAAAAGTTTTTATGAAGGTCTAGAGTTCTAGGGAGTCCCTAAAGGCTTAGCTGGGTGGAAGAGTGGGCTGGAGAGGGATCAAAAACCTCCATTCAGGCCCTCCCTGGTGGCACAGCAGGTTGAAGCACAGCACTGAGAAGCAAAAGCCACTTCAGCATGAGTTCGAGCCCCGCCCCGGAGGTGACCCACATGGTGCAGTAGACCTCTCCTGACCCGCCCGCTGCTCCCCTCAGCAGTGTACTTTGGCAATTTCTGGTGGATCCTCTCACTGCCCCTGCACCTCTGGCCTGCACCCCAGCTCTGTATGCATATATCTATCTTTAAAAAAACCTCCAACCTCCCTTTCCCAAGTCTCTTGAACCATTGGCTGGCTAGACACACATTTTACCTTTAGAATGGTGAAGCCGAGACTTCTTGCCCTCCGTTATTGGTCATTTTAAGAGACATTTCCATTTCAAGGAATCTGTTTTTTATCTGCAATGTTTAAGTTGCAACCAAAAACCTTTGAGAAATGGTTTTGAGCACAGTAGAATCTTGGAAATAAAACTTCTAAGATGTTTCTTTGAGCAGTAATAGTTAATGGTTGGCGCTCCTCAATCTGTGCGTGGCTTCCCCCTCATTTGAAGGGAAACCAAAGACACTGAGGCGGCCCAGGGCCAGCCAGAGGATCGCAACTGAACCTTGAACTTGGTACTTGCTCTTCACGGTGTAGGACGCAGCTCCTCCATATAGTCGTATGGCGCTTCAAGCCTTTAATCACACCCCCAATTTAAAGAGAGGAGTCGACTCCTACCCCTGCCCCACTTCAGCACGACACCGTAATTACTTGATTTTTGCCCCAGCCTGAAGTTAGCTCGATGAAGGCAAGGGGGTTTTGAGCGCTCTGCTGTCGCACCAGCGTCTGGAACTTAACGTGCCTGTGCAGAGTGGTGTGTACCGAGTTACTCTCAGCAAGCCCCTGGTCGCGGGCCTCTTTGCCCTTCCTGAGCTGGGCTCCGGGACCACTCAGATCCCCGGAGTCCCACTCTGGGCAGCTGGGAGGCTGAAGGGCTCCAGCCTCTAAAACTAGAATTTGAGATTTGTTTGCTGCAGCAGATTTGCATAGGAGCGTGTTGGAATGTGTTTTTGGTGGTAAACCTGCCCATTACATCAAACAGTAAAACCAGATTCTCTGCTTACAGCATAAATCACCCACTTTGGATACAAAGCCCAGAGAGACCGGCGGAGCCCCAGCGGCGCAGACGCTGATGGAAAGCGGCCCAGAAGGCGGCCCGCGGGCGGAGACCGGCTCTGACCTGGGGAGCACCGAGCGCCAGGAAGGCTGCACCGCTGCTGGGGAGAAGGCCCCGCCCAGGACAGACGCCAGAGGCGGCCCCGCCGCGCCCGGGTCGGGACCGAGTCTGGAAGGCAGCTCGAGCGGCTAGGGGGGCCGCGGGGCCTCTGCTGGTTAAGTATCGGCTTCCACAGCTGCTTGCTCCCCTCTAGGCACTGCACGGAGCCGGCCAGAATTAACAAACACCTGTATATACCTTTAAACACCACGTTTGATACGGAGACATCGCAGGAAACTTAGATGTGCTAATTGGGGGCAGCTGGTGGCGGGCACCACACTCCCCTCGGGGCGCAGCTGTCTGGGCATCTGCAGCGGCCTGCGCCTACCCGGCCGACTGCCCTGAAGCAGATGCCCCCAGGTGGAAGTACTTACTAGGCTTTTAAGGGGAGGCCCGGGTAGCCAGTTCACCTCACTCTTCAGGCACGCCTGCTCGCGGCGGCGGGGGTCGCGGGGCCTGCACCCACACAGCCAGCAGGGTCACCCAGCGGCTTGACCCTTCGCTAGATACCACTGCACCTTGTGTTAGAGCGAACCAAGGCTCCAATTGGCAAACATCTTTACATAGAAAAGACAACTGAAGAGAGTACAGTGTGAGATGATAATTTAAGCTATTTTGAAACTTCTCATTTGAAGCTTTTTGAAAAAGCAGTTTATATATTTTATACAAATTAAATAGCAAATTTCACTTATATCCATGTATCCTTTGTTTTAACCTTTATACAAGTATGTTTAGCTGCTTAACATGAAATCAGAATACCCCTTTTGGGTTCTCAGAGGCATCACGATCTTCTGTGTCGGTATTTTCTAGTAGATTGTAGCATCATCTTCAGTATTTTATTAAGTTATTTCCCCCAAAGTGTGTGTTTGCAGGTATTGTAGCAACTCGCTAGTGCAGTGCCTGCAGTCTGGGAGACGGTGACGCCGGCTCGGAGCTCGGCCTGGCCTCGGAGCGCTCCCAGGGAAACACGGGTGACGGCGCAGGAGCGTAACTGCTGTTTGCACTACACCTGTGTGCTCACTACAGATAACCACGTGGGGTGCAGCCACGCAGGAAAGACAAACAGGACTCGTCACCGCTGGTTAGGGGGCTTGTTTGTGTCCTAGTCCGCACTTAAGTTAAAATCATGGGCTGTCTTAGGTTCCTGAGGAAACCAGAAGGGAGTAGGCAGCTTTTGAGTTTTTAATGAAAAAGAGGTTAAATATTTACAGGGTCAAGAACTAGCACATACACAACATAAACGTTTTGTCGTTGTGGCTTGGTGGCCGTGTTGCTCCCTGAATGTCCCTTACCCTACAGCTGATCTTGGAGTCAGGAGTAACCACCCCCCCCCCCCCCCCCCCGTGAGTCTAGGCTGCATAACTATTTCTAAAAGTTTATTTTTTTTAAACCTCAGCCATTTGGAGACGTGATCCTCAGTGTTTGCCCATCCAAGCTACCTGGAGGATTGCGAGCAGAGGCCCACATTTCCATCGCAGCGGTACGGAAGCGGCCACGGGGACTGAGGTGCCAGCTCGCTTCAGTGTGGGCACGGGCATCACGCCTTGCTGTGCCCTGCCTGCCCCTGTTCCTTGCACTCAACTGCGTCCTATTACGTTACCTCTGTCAATCCCTCCCTGCTGTTTCTGAGACAAGGTTGAGGCTTAATCTCAATTTTTGAGTTTTTGCAACAGGAGATCCATTTTTAAATATTATTAATGAGCCAAAGCATGCTAAAAGAAATTTGTTTCTTTTATAATGGCTTTGGCCTGAAGGTAGATTTTCTTGAAAGTGTTAGGGACTAGTCTAAACATATTTACATGTTGGTCAAGTACATTATTTTTTACTAAATAGCATAATTTCTCACTATAATTCATGGTTAAGTATAAAAAATGCCATTCTCTATATTTTAAAAATTATCAGAGTATTAAGTTCTAGTCTAGGACTTATTTAACTTACTGGCTAAAGGACTAACACCAGAGTACAGTCCCAAGCAGTAATCACAAAAGTTGAAGACACATCTACCCTGAAGAGTGGCCAGAGGAATGTTACCATACTAGTAAAGGTGAAGTATTTACATTATTGTGCTATAATTTCTCCTTTTAAGGAAAATAATAGATTGAATGTCCCAGCAGTTCTGAAAGGAAATAAGGTCACTTCTAAAAATATATCCGTGGTAACTAGTGGTTGCTTAATTTTTTCCTGAATTTTTAAGGTCCAACAAAGCATTACATTGCAAAAGGTCCTTTAGCCCAAATTCAGGGTCTTTGTTTTGATCTTGCTGCAAAAGAACTCTCTGTTCATCCATTCTTTTTGCTTGAGACCGTAAAATCAGGCTAAAAAAGTCCTCATCTGGTACCGTCGGCCCCTTGGAGGCAGCAGGTGGTGGAGCGCATCTTTGATCGTCCAGGCGGGAGCCCTGCAGACCAGGCGAGGGAGAGTGAGTACGTGGCTTGGGGGGAGGGCGCCCACCACAGCTAGAAAGGCAGCTTCAGACATTTCTCCCCTCTGACATGCTACATGCACAGCGCTGCCTTCTAGGTGAGAAGTCAGCAAATGGTTTCCCAGGGCTTGTTCGGTAGATAAGTCTCCTGTATCATGGTTCCTCCTCCTCTGTGAACTTCTGGTTGACCTACTGTGTATCCCTTGAGATTCCATGTGAATTTTAGGGTGGAAACTACTGTAAGAAATGTCACTGAAGTTTTGACAGGAACTGCAGTGAATCTATAGATCACACTGTGGTTGTGTCTTTGATCTCCTTGGTGCTATGATGGATTTGTTTAACCTTTTTGGAAATGTTATCTAGAAACAGAATTGAGTTATACACGTTGATTTTCTATTCTGCTGAATTTGTTAATCTTGACAGGTTTTCCTATATGTAAGACCTGAACTTTAGATGTGGCAAAGTGCACCTCCTTATCTAGAGAAAAGCATTTGCTGGTGGGCTGTGTCCTCAGTATTCTTACAGCCTTTAATTCCCCACCCTCCTCGGATTGCAGCAACTCTAACTTTTCCCTGCTCAAAATTACAATCTCAGCTGATAGCCCCTTTTCTTTGCTGAGAACAGAAACCAGAGACTTTTCACATACATCTCCACCCCCCTTCCTCCTGTATGTACTCTCCTGACTGGGGTACCTGGGACTCGAGTTTCCTAAGTCTCTTTCCAGGGCTTTCCTAACAGCTAATTTTACTTTTCTCATGGGCTCCAAATTTTCATATCCAGTTACTACTCAGTAGCACCACCTGAGTATCAGAAAAGCCAAATAGGTACCCTTGATTCACTCACCTGAATGACCACACTAAGTTTCCCAGCTCATTTACCTGTTTATTCTCTTTGCCGCTCTTTCTGTGATAGCCAGAACAACCCCGCCACTATCTTACTGTACTTGGAATAGAAGACCCCACGATGGCCTCAACAAGCCTACACGATCTAGGCCCAAATTCTCCAGCAGCCTGTATCACTCTCCCCTAGTCCATACTTCCTCCCTGTCAGTCACAGTGCCATTCCTTGACTCTGCAAAACTTGTCTATCCCAGAGAGGACTTGCTGTTTCTTTGACTCAGTGTTCACATGGTTGGCTACTTCATCTCATGCAGGTCTCTATTCTGATGTCCAGAAAGGTATTTCCTAACCACCAGTTTTAAGACCAGATACTCCTCCACCCACCCTCTGTTCACCCCCTTCTCATGCTTTAACACAATTAGCCTCACTAACCATGTGGGCTCCTTTGAAAAGCAAGTCTACAACATAATATGCATTCATCACTATGTGAACAGGAGAGAGAGGAACAGCTGTCTTCCTTTCATCAATGAGGTAACAGACACACAGAACAAGGGTTAGTCAAAGAAGGTTCTCGCTCAAGCAGTTTCTCTCCTAAATGGTAGCCTGCCTAGGCAGGGCCCAAGCCACCCCCCTCATCGCAAGCACTGGTCACTTCTGACACTGGCTCATACAATTTTCACAGCCCTGAGAGTCTTTACAACAGCTCAGACGGGGTCACTGCACCTCTCACCAGTTAACAGGAATACAAAGTATTACAAGCCCCCTCTGATAGCTACCTTTCCGCTGCGTGCAGCACTGCGTCAACTTACTTGGCATTTCACAAGGATGTCAAAGAAGTCTTCACCAGGCTCTCCGCTGTCTCCAGTCATCAGGTGGCCAAGTACTGACTGTGTGTTGCTCTGTGTCAGACGAAGTCCTGGCAAGTTACTGAAACTGGCCCTCTGGTCATCAAGGCGGCGGCTCTGTGAGCTGGCCAGAAGATCTAGAAACTCATCTGTGTTGGGGGACACCACCGAAACAGATGATGCTATGAATAGGAGAGAAATCCAAACGTACTTAATTTAAACATTTGGTATTTTCATCTAGAACCTTCCTGCCTTGTTCTGCCCTGTCCTCTTGCCTCACCACTGAGAGGATGGGTGGCGAGAGGCAGATGAACCAATGCTCAGATGAGCAGCAGGAGGCTTTCCGCTTCGACCGTCTGTCCTTCTGTAACTGTACAAGATACAGGGCTACCTTAGAAAATTAGGAAGGTCCCCACTAAGTCAGGTCAGTAAGTCATTTTGTTTATGTAACTTCTCAGATCTGATAAATGGGAGTGTTTTTCCTGTTTTGAATTGTACAAACAACTTAGTTTAGCTAGCTAATCTTAAGTGTAAATCCCGCTAGCAAGGAAGTCCTTTGGTAGCAGAAATAGTGGAGTTTAACTATTTAGACTTTTCTAAGGCTCAAATGGGCATTAACTTCAGTTACTGATGCTTTAATTCAGATGTGAAGCATTTGCATTCTATGTACAACTATAAGGTATATATAACTAATATATGCACCTTCTGTAACTATAGCTATTTTAGAATTTACAAATTTTTCCCAACCTCAAAACAACCGAGGTGGTATTAGATATACTTAACAGAAGGTACGCTGGGCTAGAAACAAAGCTCAACTTAGAAGTGAAACAATCCTATCTGAGCTGTACAAATACAACACTTCATATATCCCAAGGTAATTTTATCTCCTGTGATAACTGAATTCCCAGATACACACCAGAAGAATAATAGAAAGTAAAGGGAGCTATAAAAGCACAGGTAACTTACTTTTCAGCACTTTGGCGGGCGTGGAGGCCGGCGCTGCTCCGAGGTTCCGTGCTTGCAGGCAGCACCTCTGATCGTCCATCCGGTTGCTCTGAAACCGGCTTAAGAGGTCAAAGAAGCCTTCGTCTCCAATGGTATCTGCACTGATTTTCTAAAATGTTGAGAAAAAGATTAAATGTGCTAGCACGGATTACTAGCCTCCCCAATGAACTGATAGAGTCAAAGTAAAAACTGACACGTTCTTTATCAAGGTGACCACCTGATGACTTCAATATCCTTGTAAGTATTTCAGTCCAACTGAGCATTTCTATTTAGTTCTTATCCTGTTTTCTAAGGCTAAACCAGTGTACCTCAGTCTCTGCAAACTGCCTCAGATACTCAGTAAATTAAGCTAATTTACCCCAGGCTTGTAAGGTTCTTACAATAGAATTTAACTGACCTAAAAACTGACTAGGAGAGCATGTGTATTTTGTTAGCATAGTGATTTCCAAGGTCTTACATTTGAAAAGACTGGAAAAATTATTTGGGGGAGAAAGAAACCTCCCCCAAATATAACATACATCATAAATAGATGTCCTCAACTAAAGGCAATGTTTTATTTTTTCATAATGAGATACATAGTCTAAGGGAGTACAGTGGACACATATATGGGAAATGCCCTTTTTGAGTGGGCACCTGAAATGAACAGGCATTTGCAGGTACGGTGGTGTCACACCGAGTATTCTATTTCAAAGGTTTATAGTACTCCAGACATTTTTGTATGTGCATTCTTAGTAGTCAATATTAAGTGCTTTTACACAGAACTGGCCCCTCCAGTGACTGGGAGGGCTTAGCAACGCATCTGCAGGGGCCTAGTCCAACAGTGTAGGTACAAGGCCACAATTTTTTTTAAAGGGGTCGGGGACACCGGGAGTGCCTAGATGTCTGAATATGGTTGGTGAAAGGACGGAAGAGCAACACCTGAGTCCTAACTTGGAGAAGGAGCCAGGAAGGTGCAGCATACGGGTGCTGGGTGCTGACTGCAGCCCGAGCGCGGGTGTGTACACAAGCTGTAGTCGCGTGCGCTGGTCATGGCAAAAATGCTAATTCACATTCTGAACGTCCAAACAGAGAATGGGTTCAGAACTGAGCGTTTTCAGTTATGCTAAATAGGCTGTTTTGACCTCAAACTTGGGACAAAGGTTTTTCATGAATTCCAGTTCTGCTTACTTGTCATTTTGTGAGCCACACATGTGTAAGAAACGTGTGAAAAACCTCAGAAAAATCAAGACAGAGGTACAAGGGTGCAGATAGATGGAAGCTGACTAGAGAGCCAGCAGGAATCTGCGTAGAAAAGGCTGCATTTCTGAGAACACCCGCAGAGCTTGACAAATGGACTCGATAAGCTGATCATCTCTGTACTCTACTGCGACCCTTAGCTAGATCAGCGGCATCTGATACGTACCAGTAAACTCATATTTAATAATTCCCATGCTCATTTTTTTATCAAAATAGTTAACTATAATTTGAGTAATGTAAAAAATACAAGTTGACGTTGGCCAGCACAATTTTTTTTTCATTTTAAATCGTTAAGAATCATGAACATCTGAATTTAATTTCTGAGCTGAATGGAGATGATTTACTGGGAGATAACGAAAATGAAATTAAAGGTAGTATTTTTGTAAACAGTAACTACAAATACTGTCCAAACAGTGAGAGACTTATCTATGGAGTAATTATTGTTTCTCTCTTTGAATAACAAAGGTATTTTTGTGTTAAGTGTTTATGTCAAGTTACTAAAAAAATTCAGTGTGAACACAAGAAAAACAAACTTATTTTAAACATACCCTCTGAGAACTTGAAATTCGGTGATCAATGGAATTACTGGCATCTTGGAGAACTTTAGCGGAGGAGTTAGTTTTGTACTTTTTCCCCTTCAATCTGCTGACAAAGAGTAGCTTTGCAGAAGGTTTGGCAGCAAGTGGTTTTTGTTTAACAAGAATCTCACTGTTCCAGTTCTGTACCTGCAGGATTATAAAGACACATTGTAGACGAGCTATGCACAGAACAGTAAAGCTATGTCTGGTTTCTTATATTAACCTGCCATCTTCACTCACTCAGCAGTGAAAGGCTGAAATCTCTTGAATTCCCTATTGCCACATACCACTATTTTTAATAACTCACATGAAATGTATACTGTAGATTTCGCATCAAAGCATTAAAATGGTATTTTTTTTAAAAGAATTAAAGAATAGGAAAACTAAACTCGCCAAAATCCCAAATAAATGAAATTTGAATGGTCAGAGCGATGGTTTTATTCTGGATGTGAATTAACTAAATAATCTATTCCCGAAAGTAACAGTGGACTTCGTGGCTATATGTAGAATTTTTAACTGTATAAATTAACACCAAACCACATACATAGCACTGTAATTTTTCTTTTGATAAAATTACTGTCTTTAAATTCTTAAAAGGCAGAACATTAATGAGCATCAGTAATAATTTATCTAGTTCTAGCTTGGTTTTAAATAAAACCGCTTCTAACGGCAGCAGATTAATAAAGACCTGAGAGCAGGTGCGCAGCGGCTCTGACATCTACACTCCGGTACCTCCCGGGAGCGCGTCAGGGCACAGGGCCAGGGCCAGAGTCGCAGGAACGCAGACACCAGTCACACCCGTTCGGTTAACTGTGCTTCTGGCCCAGAGACTATAAGCAGGGGCCCCTCCTCGGGCTCAGCTCAGCTGCTGGAGCAGCTCACAGAACTCAGAGCACCTGCTCACTACAGACCTTCAGAGTCAGGCAGCGGAGAGACAGGATGACTGGCGCGAGGGCACCGGGCTTCACGCCCTTGTCAGGTGCCCCCAGTTCCCACCCTCAAAACCCGGCCCGTAGGGTTTTCCTATAGGGGTAGCTGATTAAATAAATCACTATTCTGCTCCTCTCCTCTCCCTGGAGTGGGGGAAGAACTGAAAGCAGGGATGACCCCTCTAGTCCTGAGGCTGGCAACCAGCCCCCATCCACAGACTCGTCCAAAAGTCACCTCGTTAACACAGCCTGAAACATCTCTATCACTCAACAATGATTTTGTATCCTGGTGGTGTGGTGCATGGAGTGGTAGATGTCTCAAATGTTTTGGGAGATTGAGTCAGGGACCGAATTACATATCAAATGGTCACCTGAATAGCTAAATTGTGTCTTGCTTATAAATCACAATATCACGGGTGGAAAGGACATTTTTAGACAGCCAGTGTCTCAGTTCTCTCCAAATCACCCTTTCCTAAGTATCTTAATCTAAAAATCTCCATTTTCTCTATATATACTTATTCACCTGCTGAGAGTACTGAAACAATGAATTCACTGATAACATTTATCAGAAAAAAAAAGCCGACCCCAAGAACTAACTCCACTTAAACATACTTTAAATTAAGAGAACACCGCTCATCACTTGTTTCTTGGAAATTGGTGGGACCCACCAGCCTTCGCACAGGTGACTCGGACCTGTCAGCAGCAGGTACAAGGCAGATTAGTTTTGCTACTCATCAGCAGGTTCCTACATGGAGGAAAGTAGATCTAAAGTTTTTGTTTAAAAAAATAACTTGTAGATTGAAAGAATTTAAGAACAATTCACAAGAAATGGGTATTCAGAAAGTCCTTTGGTAGTTAACCAGAGTCTTTAGACAACTAGAATGGTCTGGAGTTTTAAAACTCTTGGTTTAAGTCCCAACCAATTAGATGCTGGTCTCGTGAGCACTAGCCACACACTCATAGTATGTTCAGAAGTCATATGCCTGTTATGACAACAGATATAAAAGTAAGGTAATACATGTACAGAGTAAGATATTTAACATGAAAAGTTTTTCTTAATGCATTATAATATCTACAGTATTAATATGAAAATTTAAGGTGAATAAATAGCTAGGATTTATGACCCTTTTAATTTCTTTGTTGGAGTTTTCTAACATTATAATGAACATATCTCATTAGAAGTATTTTAAAAATACACTGTAAAGGAACAAGCCTATTTTAACAATGAAGGTAAAGTGGGAGAAAGTAGCTGAAGATTCATTAACCTTTTCCCAATTATGTTCCTCTGTAGCTTTAAAAAAAAAAAAGGCTAGAGAAGGTGCATTTTAGATAAAAAGCAATTTGTTAGTTAAAAAGAAGTCTTCAAAAATATAGCTAGAAAAATTACTCTTCTTGATAACAAATAATAACCTCAGCCAAAATGTAAACTTCGGAAAATAAATGTTTACTTCCTGACCCTTGTTTGATTTTCCTACTATTTTAATTTAAAAAAAATACATCTACATGCTAAGATATTTAAACAGTTCAAGCTGTTCCTACTTATATAATTCCATATGTACTATATGTACTGTTTTTCCTGACTCTGACACCTCACCACCTTCCTGGAGGCAGCCATCAGCAAGTCATTTACAGACACTTCCAGAATGTCTCACACATCTACAAAGGATGCATATACCTCAAACCAACTGCAGCATATTGAATGCATTTTTATACTTTACTTCTTAAATGATGAGAATTTTAAAGTGATATGTGGGACAAGACTTATTTAAATAACTTCATTTAAACTAAAAGTTACTAAAATACCTTATTACAGCCGAAGACATTAAAGACATGAAAATTGCTAACCTTTTCTGGTGTTAACTTCATAAGCTCCATGTTTTCCATACTGTGTCGTCGTCCAAACTTAGGACGTGTGCCTTTGTTTAAACAAAATAAATAAAGTCAAATAAACCAGGGAGCCCTCAAGACTACAAATTCTTCATTGCTCTGTTACGAAGTTTTAAAGTCTGTCATACAAACCCATGTGAGAGGAGGAGACATGTAGCAACTGTGTTCTTTTGAGAATAATAATTTTCTATACCGATGACAAAAATAGAATACACATGCCCCTAAAATGCTTTGATGTAGGGAAGTTACATTTTGGTTGAAACTGACTTTGGTTACTAACACTACCCCTTAATTTAGGAAAGGAGTTTTATAATAACTGGTTTATTATGATCCACACAGTATCTTAAAAAGAAAAAACCAAGCTGTAGAGCAGTTTAAGTAGAAACATAAGGCACAGGCTTAGAGGCCTTTAATTTTAAAACTCCCCAGCACTACATTGTTCCTTTTCCAATTTAAGATCTGGCTGCTGCCAGTCAGAAAGAAAAATAGAAAGGCCCTCTGTAGTTTCCCAACAGGAATTAAAAGCCAAATTTTCATATCCAATCATTTTTAAGATAAAGAGTGTTTTAACAGGTATGACCTACTGCTTGACACCTAATACCCAGCTTAAAACATGGATCATTACTGACACATTAGATGCCCGTAAGGTGACTGACTCCCTCCGTATGGAACCTTCCTCTTCATGCAGCTTTTTCTGTTCTGGCTGTTACATGTGTGAGCAGTACAGATTAGTAGCACTATGCAAATGGTCTCACCTGGATATGTTCTCTAACTTGCTTCCTTTGAGCAATCTTAGTTTGTGAGCTTCATCCAAGTTCTAGAATGTAGTTTAATTCATGGTAGAACTAGGACATACTTGTGCAAATGGTGACACGTATTCAGGCTACTTTCAATTTTTCTGTCGTCATGTGCTACAGGAACCTTGGGGGTGCCCCTTGATATACACGCGAGCACGTGCTTCCTCTGCGTGGATGTCAAAGTTACAATTGGTGCATCTTGAACTTTTCTAGAATGCTGTCAGATTGTTTTTTAGATTTACTAACTTTTTTTCTCACTTCAGCAGTGTCGTAGATGGCTGAAAGCAGTGTCGTAGATGGCTGCTGCTCATATTCTCAGCTGTCTCTTCCTTGTGTTGGCCCCTTCCCTTCCCCAGGGGATCTGGCTTCCCGTTCTGGGATCTTTTTGCAGACGCTGTCTGGTTTAGTTTGGCGGTAACCCCCCTCCTGAGGTGAAAGCACCTGCGTGCTGAGCCTCCCGCCCCGCTGCACCCTGCAGTGGAGACATTTCTTCTGGGCGCCTGGGTCCTTGATCAAGCTGCTGCCCCTGGTGGTGCCTTCACAACCTGAACTCCATCAGCCTGTGGATGGCAGGAGCAGACGCTGGCTCAGCGCTTTGGAAAGAGGGGACGCGCCCATCTTCCTAGGAGTGTGGGAGGTGCACTCACGTGCCGCTTAGGATTCTTGCTCCAGTCAGAAGTCACAAAGGGACTGAACCTCATTCTGCACTGGAGCTTCAACGAGGGCTGCACAAGGGCTGGGGCGTACAAACCTCTTTTTAAATTTCTATTCCCGTCAACACTAAGGGCTCCCTTTGGTCTACAACATTTCAGCAGTGGCATTATCAGACTTTTAAGTTTTCATGCTCTCTATAGTTTTCACTGTTACTTCATTGTGATTTTCTCTAATTAAATAGTTATCTTTTCATATACTTCTGAGCTATGTATGTATCTTCTACTCACTACTTTTGCCTATTTTTTACTTAGGTAACATTTTTAATTCAGTTTTCCATTTGCAGTTGAATATAAATCCTCTCTTTAATCATGTGCTGCAAATATGTACTCTTCATTTGTGTTTTCTCTCTCAATGGTTTCTTCAAATGAGATGAAGTTCCTAATGCCCACCTTTTCCTTAATGGTTTCATTTGTGCCTTAAGAATTCTTTCCCCTCTGAAATTTATGACAAAAGCTATAAAATACTATACTCTGTATTGTTACATTAACAGGACTATGGTAAAGCAAAAAAGGTATTAAAAAGTTTTCTATATAAGATTCTCTCAGGATCTGGTAAACATGATAAATAATTTAAATGTAAACTTTCAGGACTGGGTTTTAGAAGATCTATTACTTACCATGCAAACTGTTATCCATTTCAAGATTTTCTGACATCATTGAGTTATTTGTGCTGTAGCTCAGACCAAGAACCATCTGGAGATCAGAGAGATTCAGTCGTGCTGTCAGCTCACCACTTCTGTCCCCAACCTACAACCACAAGCATTTATACTTTAGTATTAAAAGACAGACAGCGAAGGTTTGTTTAAACTGTTGTGAACTTAAAACTGGAAGAAAACAGAGAACCTAGTTATGTCAGGACTATGAGACTACATAATGAGTTCTTTCATTAATCATTTAAGGAATAAGGAATAAGGAATAAGGAAAAGGAAGCTTCTAAAACATGGTAGTCAATAATATTCTATCAACTCCTGAGTTCTCTATATTTTAGACTGCTCTTATTTGCTAGGACCACATTAGATAATAATGCAGATTATTCTGTGACATCTTAATTTGGGGTTACATGATTAATTCTTAGTAACCTTTCCATCCCCGGTCTTACCTTCCTGTCTTCCCACATCAAGGACTGTACAAACATACCTGTGACCCAGAATTCAAATGTTTTGTGCAATTCTTAGAGCAGGAGAACAATACATAAATTTATTACTCAGTTGTATTGGATCGATTTGGAGAAATAGGGCTTCCCCCCAGCTGATTTATGAATTTAAAAACAGAGCAACCCTCCAGTTTCATACCTCTCTTGAAATTTCCAAATGCTTTTCAGCAAAATGCATTGCTTGATCATGATTTCCTAGAGCTGTGTATGCATTTCCTAAGCTCCAACATGCTCTTCCTTCACCGATTCTACAACATAATATAAAGCTAATATGCAGTTATCTGAAAGCTCTGTGTAGAATACAAGCTCTCTAGCAGCAATCAAAGGTATTAACAATGCTTTTAATTTATTTGATATTTCAGATAAAAACATACTTTTATAATGCTAGGGTATTAGAATATGCTATCATAATAAAATGGGAAACATCTTTAAACACCCAGTATATTAGAAAATAAAACCTTTGGGATAACTCTTATAGTTCAACTATCCCATTTTCTTTCTGTGACAGCACTATCAGATAATCACTAATCATTCATTCTGTGAGCACCACCAAGGTTTCACTACCTTTTCAGGTAGCATTATGTAATTTTGAACAATTATATATAAGTTCTTCCATATCATACTGAGGTAAAAAGAAAATAAAACTATCATCCTAAAGCAAACATTACAGCTAAATAAAGATATGCAGTTAGAAAATTAAGAGAGGAGGAGGTACATTAGACAACATATAAAAAATCAAAAAGATTTCATATAAAACTCAGGGCTGAGGCCACCCTGGTGGCCTAGGGGTTAAGTCTCAGCACTGGCCCTGCCGGAGTTGGATCCCAGCAGGGGAGCTGATGCACAGGGTGTAGCTTGTCCTGCCCGCTGGTCCCTCTCTGCAGTGTATTTCATTGATCGCCTGTTCTGCTCCCCACTCTTGTCTCTAGTGAATTCTCTCACCCCCCTGCACCTCTGGCCTACAACCCAGTTCTTCTACACATGCGTGCATAAACAAACAAGCAAACCAAGCAAGCAACCACAGTCAGGACTTCCAACTCCTCAAAGAGACAGGAGGATCTTGGCATAGTGGCTGCTTGGTAACCACTAGCCAGCGCTGAGTAGCTGCTGTCCCCTTTACCCTGGGACACACCTCAAGGTTAGGAGGCCTGTAGGCAACTGAGTTTGTGACCTACTTACAGCTATTCAAGGCTGTAAGGGACCAGATTAATCCTCTTCTATGTGCTAGCTGGCAAACATACAGAGGATGTGATTGAAATAGAATTTTTAACAAGGAATTAAAAAGAAACTTTAAAACAAAGGGAAAATTCTAGGGAGTCAACAACACATTAATATTTTACCAGAACGAAGTAAAAGATTTATATCTTACCTATCATTTAGCTCTTGAGCAATTGCTAGGTGCTTCAGATGATAGTCAATGGCCTTTTCATAGTCTTGGAGTAGAGTATATGTGTTTCCAAGGCTGTAACAAGACTGAGCTTCTACAGCCCTGTCTTTCAGCTGTCGAGCCAACAGGAGTGTCTTCCTAAAAGAAGAAGTTAATTCTTAACATGATGAGCATTTTTATTCTGAGCTACAGTAATCTTTAAGCTCTCACTTTTCCTCTCTGGTGCTTTCTCCTTCCTTTAAAGTGAATCAGCTTTGGAGCTAAATATCACATACTTCCTCATTACATTTAGGCAAAGTGAAAAGATTTTTTGAAACATAAAAACAAACCCCCACTTTTAGAGTAAATTTGAGAATTCTACCAGTTCTCCAGAGAAAAGGGACATTAACACAGAGCTCACTCAAGTGCCTCCAAAGACCAACACAGGATTTCAACATTTCAAAATACTTTCCCTGCAATAATAGCAGTGACTTAAGAGACTTGTCCATATACGATCCCTTTCCGATCATACCCTTCTGTTTTGACAAGGTTCATATACTTAGTTAAAATTCTTATGTGCAGGCCATTACTGATTCCTGAAAATACTAAGTTCCCCAAATTTAAACATTAGCCAAATTCTGCCCAACACACTTGGTATATTCAGCGAGAAGCTTAGAGTAACAGTGAGGAGGAGCATGGACCCCTCAGTGGGTTCAAATCCCAACCAATGACCAGCTCCATTCCTGGGCAAGTCACTCAGCCTTGCTATCACTTGTTTCCTCAACTATAAAATGAGGGAAACACCTGGCAGAGCTTTGTGAGGACCGTGTAGATGAATATATGTCCAATCTTAGACTATCACCTTGCCCACTGCAGACGCTAATAAATGGTAACACTTTTGTTGTTGTTATCAGTGTTTAAACTTACAATTGCTTTTGGGCCCAATAATTTGAATGACTCATTCCTTCCAACAAATAGTGTGCGTTAATTCATATAAAGTGCCAGTCAAGCACTGTGTCTTTGATACAGTCAAACTGGTTTTGGCCTGAGGTCTGTATGGTCTTCAGTCCCCACTAATTAGCAAAAGCACCAAACGATCTAGAAAACACTGAAGCAAGTTAAACTCTGCTGTCTGTTCCAACCTCCTGCTGGATTACAAAGAGAAACTGGGATTGCAGCTCCTCGAGTGGGTGGGGCCTCAGCTTCCAGCAGGGTCAGAGAGAAGCAGAGTAAGGGGGAGAAATGCAGGGGATGGGGGGGACTGCAGGGGAGATTCAGTGATAACTGACGGAGATTAGGGCCCATTTTTGTTGGCAGGTTTTCTTCTGGGTTTCCTTCAAACCAGTGACTGGGTGAAAACATAAATATACACACTACACATGCTAAACAAGTTGTAAAGACTTTAAAATTTTAGTTTCATTTAAAAACGATTAGCTTTAAAGATAAAAATAGAAATGTAATGGTCACACTACTGCAGTTAGGTACAATAATGCTTATTGAGCACTGTGGGCCAGGAACTGTGCTAAGGACGAGCTAAGAACATTCTTTCAATCCTTATAGTAATCTTGAAGCAAGCAAGGTACTGATTATCTTCTGTTATAGGTGAGGAAACAGGCTTAGAAGCACAACCACTCATTCTCCTCAGCTACAGAATCAGACTAACTTGTAGTATTCAGAGGCAGTCTCAAATTCACCCAGAAATATATAGGCATTTCCAAGGTTGCTATACGCTCTTCTTTCAGCAGCTTTATCTCCAAATTCCTTTGCAATAAGGAGACGCTGAAACAGAAAATTTAAATCAGATATTGCTGTAATATAAAATGAAGAATAACAGTGTTCAAAAATGCTGATGGAGTAACGAGCGCATCTCACCTGCTCGTGAGCTATGACAGCATCCCTGAAGTTGCCGAGGAGGTAATGTGTGTTTCCTAGATTTCCAAAGGCACGTCCTTGGGCTGCTCGGTCGCCCAGCACAGTCACTAAGGACAGGTTCTCCCTAAGTGGTAACAAAAGGTAAAGATTTTGGTGGGGTGGGGGGAACATCTAATAACCTGATTTCTAAATTCAGTTCTTTTTTCAGGAAAAAAGTTAAATAAGCTTACAGCCATAGTGTGCATATTTTAAAGATAAATCATAATACAGGGTAATTTTAGAAAACTGGAAACATTTTACTGACCCTTCAGGTAGGCTTTTGCCCAGAGTCAAGGACAGAGTAAATGATGGAATGCCCGCAGCTAAGAAGTTCTTAACATTCTATTGAGACTTCTAGTTAACTTGGACAAACCGATGCTATTCTTCTTTTTGCCACTAAGTGGCACCAGTGAGCAGTTTAAAGTTTTCCTGGGGTGTGGATTGATTACTGCTAATTCAATTCTAACATTTTAGCAATGATTTGATGGGTTTTTTCACTTGCTAGCCCATCAATTAAAAACCTTGACCAAACTGAAAAGCCTCCAACAAAGACTCCACGCATGGCTCGGTGGATAACATCCTGCATCTCTGCTACTCACTCATAATAATCCACAGCTGCCTGCAAAGCACTTCTTGCTTCTTCTGGAAATTCTCCTGTGTCTTGAGGACCAGGGCAGGCAAAACTTTTCCCTTTGGCATGATACACATTCCCAAGATTGTAAAGTGCTCTTGCTTCTCCTACCTAAGTGAAGATATCAACAGAGTTTACATTTTGAACATGCAGCCAGGTGTTATGATGCTGATCACATGTATTTATTTGCAATATCCTTGATGGCCTCCCCAGTCCAGAGAAGAATGTGCTGTCCAGCCTTACAGAACCAAACAAAACAAATGACTACTTTTCCCCCTCTATTTAAAAAACTATAGGTCCCCCCCCCATTTTCTTTCTTTCTTTTTTTTTTTTTTTTTTTGGTGTCAACATTAAATAAACTACAGAATAGTTAAGGATTAAAACACAGAGCAATTGAATGAAAACATCTAGTCCTCCATCTGTTTCCTGATTACCTTGTCATCAAGCTCTCTGGAAATATCTAGGTGTCGCTGACAACAAGTGACGGCTTCTTCAAAATTCCCAAGAACTTTTAAGGTGTTTCCCAGATTACCACTAGCTTTTGCTTCCCCTAGTTGGTCTCCAATAGTCCTAGAATAAAAAAAGTCAATTATGTTAAGATATAGAGCAGGAGAGCAGAGTTTTCCCTAGAGAACTGACACACTTAAACCAAGCAAGACCCACTAGTTTTGAACCTACTTAAAAATATCAAACTTATGTTTCCGTGATTAAATTTAGTTAATTTTCATTCACTTAATTAAACTCAAGGGTCATTTCACTACTATTCACTCATCTACTTTTATTTCATTTTCTGCTTAAAATTGTAACATGCAATGCCACTGAACTATCACCAAGTGTATTAAATTGGTTCTTTTTTTTTAGTTGAATGAAAAATTTTTTAAATAAGTTACTTTGGGGGATGTGTATTAAATAGCTTAAATTAATTACCTTGCAAGAGTCAGGTCATGATGATGGTATTCTAATGCTTTGGCATAATCATGCAAGTAGAAATAAGCATTGCCCAACTGACTGTAAATAGCACTAAGTGTTTTTAGGTCTTCTGTTCCAACTTGAACTGCAGCTTCAAAGAATGACACACCAGCACGACAGTCTCCAGATTTACACAGACGTTCCCCTTCCAAGGCCAGTTCTAGGCAAGAAGCTTCCATTCTGTAAAATTACACAGGGCATTTAACAACATTACATTATAGCACACCGGTGTTTTTAACTCCCAGTTATTTGTGTGTGTGTGTACACACACACACACATTTATTTATTTATGCTTACAGAACTGGGGTACAGGCCAGGGGTATGATAGGTCAGAGGATTCACCAGAGACAAAGTGGGGGGCAGAACAGGCAGATCTACTGAAATACACTGCTAAGGGGAGCAGCGGGCAGGTCAGAAGAGGTCTGCCGCACCATGTGGGTCACCTCTGGGGTAGGGATTGAACTCATGCTGCAGTGGCTTCAGAGAGCTTCATAATACAGGGCTTTAACCTGCTGTGCCGCCAGAGAGAGCTCAGTAATATATATTTTTAAAAGATGTATTTTTTATTTATATATACATACAAGAGCTGGGGTGTAGTAGGCCAGAAGTATGAGAAGTGGAGGTGTGGTAGGAGTTACCAGAGAGAGAGTGAGAAGCAGAACAGGTGATCTATTGAAATACACTGCTGAGGGGAGCAGAGGTTGAGACAGGAGAGGTCTGCTGTGCATGTGGGTCACCAACCTGGCTGGGGATCCAACTCATGTTGCAGTGGCTGGTGATAGCCCTGAGACTAACTTGCACCACCAGGGAGGCCCCCAGTAATAGAATTTAAATGTGGGCTGTGACCACACTAAAACGGAAGTGTGTATAAATTACTGGTACAAGTATATAGCAAGAACTAATTCTGTTCAAATGTATCTGAACCTCAGAGGCCTTTTGTACAGGATAGCTGAATATCTCAACATGAAATTCATTTAAATTGACTCATCCAGTACCAGTGGGAAAACTTAAAGCACTAATGTCCTATATCCCCTCTGAACTGGAATCCATGCACCTGCCCAGCAACCCTCTGATTCACAGGCAGATGCAAGGGAGCATGTTCCCTCCTTCCCTCCCTCCCTCCTTCCCACCACTTGAATCACCTGTCATTTAGAAAAAAGCAACAAAATATCTTAGGCTACAAGGGAACTGTCAAGAAACCTCACGTTAGAAAGCAATCACTTGAAGGTTTGCAGAAATTTTCAAGTCTTTGAATTTTAAAAGGCAGCAGAATCTATGTAAATGTGCATCCAGAAAATGCGCATCCCTGAGGCTCCAATCCAAAGACATTTTCATGATTTCTGCCATGTGTATGTACTACCTAATTATTAGTGTTTCTATAATTGGTAAGTTTCCTTTAAACTGGCATATAATCTATTTTTTGATTCATTCTAAAGATTTATGTATACAAGAACTGGGATATAGGCCAGAAGTACAGAGGGTGAGAAGACCCACCAGAGACAGAGTGGGGAACAAAAAAGGGGAACAAAAAAAGTGTGGGAAACACACTGCTGAGGGGAGCAGCGGGGGAGACAGAGAGGTCTGATGCCCCATGTGGGGATCAAACTTGCCCTGCAGCGGCTGCAGAGAGCTCCACAGTGCAGAGCTTTAACCCACTGTGCCACCAGGGAGGGACCTAAGTTTAAAAAAATTAGCCTCACCCAGCGTAGATCCATGAAACCATGAGTGTTGTAATACTTAATCAATGTAATGACATTAAACCAAATATGTAACTAATAAAATGAAAGGGCATAAAATTGGCATATATACCACCAGTGGTATACATACAACACCCTCTGAAAACTTTAACACATCAAGCATTTTAATTTTTGGAGCAGAATTAAATTACCCCTTAGGAGAATTAGCTGTGTGCAATTCTAACAGAGCTGTGGTTCTTATCCTGTGTGCACAACAGCAGAGCTCATCAAAACACTCTTGAAGCGCCATTACATCTGAAGAGGTCTGACCTGCACTGATCTGTAACAATCCGTCATAATTCCAATATACAAGCCAAGATTGAGAATCCTAAACTCATTCAAATATGATTATACTTCTGTATTGTAGTAATGGGCCAATTAACACATTTCTTCAAGTGCTGTCTTTTAGTCTTTAAAACTTCAAGGCTCCTTAGAGCCAAAAATTAAAATGGAATTTAAGAGTGGAAAATAAATATAATGAAAAAGTAACTTAAACAAATTATTTTTGGCTAAATTTGCTTATCACTAGACTAGTGATTTTTATATTCATTTGTATCTTTGCAAAATAATGCAAGTAAACCTAACATTAGACCAACATATTTAGATAAAGGAAGATCTAAAATACATGGGAAAATAAGTCAGAAACTTTAAATTGGTGTGTATGTGTATAATTGTCATTTCACAAAGAAGTCTGTTTTTGTCTTTTACAAGTAAAAACTACCCTTTAGGAATCTGTCTTTTCAAATCCAATAAATGATAACTGAGATTTCAGACAAGAAAATGAGGTTTCATGTTACGAAATGTAACTTTTTGTTTAAAGTTTAGGAGGTAGTTGGTGTATTCTGTGTACAGAGAAATGAGTTAGCAAAAATTAATATGTAGAAATGTGATATTACTAAGGGGTTCTTTTGCTAGACGAGATACCTTACCAATCTTTATTTGTGTAACTACTGAAATCACTGAGCTTCTAAGAGTTATATAGGAAATACTGGGGAAAACTAAGCATGATTCCAGCTCTGTGAAAAAATACACAATGAGCAATTTCACTGCTAAATGACCTTCAGGTTACAAGTACACAAATGTAAAAAAGATGTGCTAGGAAGCTCATAGCACCAAAAAACCACAAACACCTTAAATATCTATCAATCCGGTATCAGATAAAAAACTACATATTGTGGTAGGACGGGCTATTAATGATAGCACACAGTTTCAGCGAGGGACAGGAAGACAGCCACATAGAACAGCACATCCGTTCAGGACGACAGTAATGCTGGCCAGGAAGTTTGGGATAAGGCAGAACTGGGTACCCACATGCAAGACTGTGAAAGGTTTGGGAGTGATAACAGGTTCCATATAAAGCAAAGAAATGTCTTCTTCAAATAAATATCTTCATCACAAATATGTAACCTTCTGGAGTTATATAATTAAACAAGAACCATTAGTCCAAATGATGTTGTAATCAACAAAATGCATGGTGGTGTAAGAATTACAGTTAAAATATATATATATATATATATATATATATATATATATATTACATATTATCATTAGAAACAGTGACAGCAAACTGGAACCAGCCAGCTACAGTCTTCAAAGCCCTGGAAACTGCCCTGTTGTAGAAACTCCCTTCAAAAGTTATCTCAGTCATGTCCAAAACAAAGCCAAAATGCTCTAGTTTTTAATTGAGTATAATTTCATGGCTCTGGTATATTTCATGAGAAAAACAGTCAATATTCTGGGAAAATTTTCAGCACCTCAATCAAATATATCTAATTACAAAACAGTCAAGGCAGGTTGGTTATAAATTTTTTACAACATCATTAAATAGTAACACAGAAAGTAACTTCATATCCTCTTTGTCTCTGAGAAGAATAGAATTACTTCATTTGTTTACCAATTTGGTTGAAAAACAACATATACAGAGTAGAACAGAAGCCAGAAAAATAATTCCATTAAAATGTCCTATATGTAAAGTTTTTTCTTCATTCCTAATTTTAGCCCCTGCAAATAATTTTTACCACATAACTTACCACATATATCAAGTTGTTCTAGTTTATTTTGTAAAGGGGAAAAGCAGTGCAAAGTTATCTTGATTCATTTGGACTCGTGACTTAAGTGTTCGAAGTCATTTCATCATCTATTACATCAAATATAAACCTCAAAGCAATGCTCTGACATAGGTATTATTACAAAAGGGGAAAGTGATTCTCAGATAAACTTCCTGCTTAAGATCACACAGTGGCAGAGCTAGGAAACAAAACTGTCACCAAATCCAGTGCTCCTTCCACCACTATATATTACCTCAAATTACTCTTCAGAGTATACTATTAATAACTGTAATTTACGTAGTTAAATAAAAAAAAAATCAACCCCAAAACTGTAGTCCTTTCGAATATATATGCAATGTCTGCATTTTACAATATTAAAATAGAAATGTTTATTACACCTAAAAAAATTAATGATACTTAATGTCAACTGTATTTTAAAAGTTTAGAAACTGGGCCCTCCCTGGTGGCGCAGTGGGTTAAAGCACAGAACTTAGAAGCTAAAGCCACTTCAGCATGAGTTCAATCCCCACCCCGGAGGTGACCCACAGGGCACGGCAGACCTCTCCTGATCTGCCCGCTGCTCCCCTCAGCAGTGTACTTTGTCAGTCGGTTTGTTCTGCCACCCCACTCTGTCTCTGGTGAATCCTCTCACTGCTCCTGTATCTCTGGCCTGTATCCCAGTTCTGTGTGCATAAATAAGTCTTTAAAAAAAAATGTTTAGAATGGAGCTTCCCTACGACCTAGCAATCCCACTCCTAGGTATCTACCCAAAAGACCCAAAAACAATGATTGAAAAAGATACTTGTACCCCCATGTTTATTGCTGCTTTATTTACAATTGGAAAAACATGGAAGCAGC